TTTTCTGGTGTCTCAAAATCACGTGTCACAGGAAAGATGTACACTTACTTAGGTCTCTACAAGTTCACACATATATATTCCATTTACAAGCCTTACAGAAGGCCTTTTGCAGGTTTTTTCTCTTTTTCTGTCTGAAAACACATGCACTAATGTAGTCAAAGGCATTCAAAGATGTACCATTCACACCTAAGTGTATGCCTTTTGTTATAAATGTTATTTTTTAAACTAAACTATTTGCATAGATCAGACTATATAATATATAAACCAAAACACTTGTCAAATAGATTAAATAACAGGATATTAATGTAACAAAATTTAGGTCAAGCAAAGTAGAAAGAAAAAATTAATCGTGATTAAAAAAAATAATCAGCAGTTTAAAATGATATGATGTGCTTGTCTAGAAAACATATCTATAAATTAAAAAAGGAAATCCTATTTCAGAATAAAACATTAAAGTAAAATTAGTCCTACCCTAGCAAGTAGATGGGTTTGGCTACCCAAATCATGTTTATGAACTTTGTGGTTTGAATCTAAAATTTTTTCTATTAATTTTTTCATAGGAACACACAGAGCAAATTTTTTAATAAAGATACAGAAAAGGAACAAATTCTATCTTTACTTACATTTCTGTCAGCAGTAAAATGACTCCATGGCACCAGTCTTTATCAAATAGAACTGACTGATGCTGTGAATCAGTGACTCGACTAATTCTCATAACAATGTGACAAGATTAAAATTTAACTGTTCCAGTTACCAGTTACAGCAGAATAAATATTACTTCTTGGTAAGAATAGAATATCAGGAGCTAGGAATCCTAAATGCTAATCTCTGTGGTCTTGTCACTTCATCTTTTTAAGGCTCTTATTTAATATGTAAATAATAATTAAGTACTTGATCTGGCAATTATTTCATATTTCCAGAATGAGATAATTTGATGTCACTGGATGAAAAGTGCATTCACTTTAAGTAAAATGCAGTATTTTAGCGTCCCTTAGTTCATAATAATTCTAGTTTAAAATATACCTTATGATTATATAAGATACCCCTTTTGCTTACATACAGAAAAATAATTAAATCCTAATGCAAAGTTAAATAAAGCCCCTGGAAAAACTTAACACTCTCTCTTTCCTATTTATCCTATTATCTGTTTGGCTAGTAACACTAACTAATCCGTACAAAAGGAACTCTGATATCATCTTAACAAATGTTCAAACGTATTCTCCCCCCTCAACAAAACCTCCACAAAGGTGAACGGGAAACGGGTGCACAAGCTGAGAGTGGAATACAGCCTGGCAGACAACACACCTGAAAACCTTCCCTTTGGGCTGATCTCTTGGCAGTTCTCACATTCTCTCATAAAACCAGAACTAGTGCAGCTTTTGGTGCGTTACAGGATCCCTTAGGAAGCTGTCATTATCTCCTCTCTTAATCACTTAATACCAAAAAAAAAAAAGAGAGCACCGTACACCGTACACTGACTGTACACCTGAGGAAGGAGAACTTGGAATTTTTCAGCTGGTAAACTTATGTTCTGTAATGCTTAACAATTAATCACTCTTAGTGCTGGACCATTCACTAGTGTATGTGTTTTGTGACAAAAGTTCCCAGATGGCAAAAGTGTTCTCATCTCAAAAAGGACCCATCATTCACCATCACTTTACCGTGACACAACAAAAAAAATATGTCCATCTAGCAGGAATAGGGTAGGGGAACAAAACTTGTATTAGCAATGCAGCAAAAGCACACATATCAAATGATATTAGAAAAATTACATGTTTATATAATGACATAAGATCTTCCTGATTATTTCCATTCCAGTAAGTCTGTAGGAGGGACTTTTAATTTTTCTGAAATACGAGGGGAAAAAAGGGAGCCTCAATGGAGAAAGGTAGGCCAGCTGCCTTTTCCGAGACTCACATACTTTCAGAGAGGACAGCACAGCACTGGCAGTTACTTGAGGAAAGAACTACCCTCTCTAGCACAGGTCTTGGGCTCATGCTCCAGAGCAAATCACTGTTCCCCAGCAGCACAACGAGGTGACAGAACAAGATGATGGCCCAGTTGCCTTTGCTCTCTACCCTTCTGATTCAGGCACCAGAGCAGTCTAACATTCTCAAAAAAAACCAAAAGTAGAGGTTCTTCTGAATCAAATTATATCTTCCTGCGCTTAGTCTGGATTCCTGCTCACCTGCAGCAGAGACCGGATGCACCTTTATCACTCATTTACATGTCTCAAAACAACTTCTCAGTAATACCCTAGTTCTGTTTAGATGGGCACACAATCACTGTTAACTCTGGTGTTCATGTCTTAACCAAGCTGTGACCATCCAACAGCCAATGCACAGGATGGGTGTATAAAATCCCCTACCAACTGTTTTCCCAGTGCTGGGTACTGAAAGAGTTCACCTCACAGTGTACCTGATCCACATTCCTTCAGGTCATTATAAAATTGGGGTTTGCTACACTGAAAGATGCCACCACGGGGAAGCTGAAGCTGGAAGAAAACACTCACTTATAAACAGTTACCAGCTGTGTGCTTTCTCCAACCTGTCCCCCTACCACAGACATCATGCCTTCCAGCTGATGAAAAATGTACCAGCTTACTTAAAATGAAACTGCTGTTACTTGTAAGATCCTTGACTGCCAAGGCCCCACAGATTTCTTTGTATAGAGTTAGTAGTCTGTCAGTGTTTGTGTCACTGCTGAACTGACTCGGGTAGAGTTATTTGAAAACTTCAGCTGTCATTTACAAAGAAAAAGGGGGATGTCAGAGCTGCAAAAATTAGCTATTCTATTTTCTGTGTTCTAAAATGAAGGACTAATGTAAAAAATAATAACATGACCTTTAGCATATATATGTAGGTTCAGGACCAAGAAATACACTTCAGTATTGAAGATCAATTACCAACAAGCAATTGGCTAAATTAATTAGGAATGTGAGATATCTGGTTCCTACATTTGTAATTTTAAATGTAAACCTGAAAAGTATTACTGGAAAGCATCAAATACAAAATTAATATTTTATAGCCAGGCAAGAAGCATATGTAAAATACAGAAATAAAACACAGATTCCAGTTCTGAGGTGTACACATTACTTTATGTGGTATTAGAAAATTCTGGCAAATAAATTCAAGGACGACAGCTGTTAGTGGAAGTTCATTACTATCATCTTCGTATTTCCATCTCTGGAGAAAGATGCAACCCCTTGTCTTGCACATCATACAATTTTCTTTGACACTTTCACTTAACGGTTTCTGTGAATGGTAACACCCATACCCTCACTAAATATATGGAGGTTATTCAGTGATCAGAAGCCACCTAGACAACAGACAGTTTCTCTACATTTTCTTAAGGTACAGTATGAACCCTGACTCACATGGAAGACAGTAAATAATCAACACTGATTCCTGCAGTAATGGAAGTTCTCCTGGCAGCTCTCCCAGCAAAGTACCAACCAACCTGTTCAGTTTATGATACCTAGCAGAATTGCAGCCTGACAAAGCCTGACTGCAAATGTGGCCTTTTTCCAGTGCTTGTCAGGACGAGTTGAAAAAAATATACTCACCAGGCACAACTATTTGTAGATCCAGTGATTGCAAATAAATTATTCCAATTTGCAATAGCAGAAAATTTAACCTGCTCTGGAGTTAACAGTTATTGCCTCCAAAAGCTTCCTTTTGTAGGGTGAACACACGCTCCACTTGAACTACAAGAATTATCCATGTCAATTCTGCCTTGGAAAGCACAGCTCGGGAAGATCAGCAGGCTGCGGTGTCACGCCCTTCAGCGAGACACATTCAGCAGCACCAGCCCAGCAGTCACCAAAACAGGCGAAAGGTTTTGATACAGGTTTCCACAGGATGCAAGGGACAATATACTTGTTAACTCAGGAGGAGTGGGAAAGAGCAACGGCACTTGCTACCAGTTTGTAGCTGTACTCGAATGAGGTGTAACTTCACTCGTGCCCGACGCCCGTGAGGGACAGCGCCGTGTCCCCGGGACAGCCCCGCGACACGGCGGGCACCGCGCACGGCACCCTCTGCGCGGGACATTCGTGCCTCGCCTGGCGCTCCCGGCACAGCAGGCGCTTACAGCTCTCATCGCCCGCTCACTGCGGTGACCTCGGTACCGGCCCTGCGCCCGGCCCGCAGAGAAAACCCTGCAGTTCAGTCGGTGCCCGCATCGACACGATTCGTTTCAGTGACCGGCAAGGCGGAGGCTGAGGCGGCCGGGCTAAGGTGGATCCTCACTGACGGGGGTGGGTGAGGCGGCCGGGCTAAGGTGGATCCTCACTGACGGGGGTGGGTGAGGCGGCCGGGCTAAGGTGGATCCTCACTGACGGGGGTGGGTGAGGCGGCCGGGCTAAGGTGGATCCTCACTGACGGGGGCGGGCTGAAGTGGCCGGGCTAAGGTGGATCCTCACTGACGGGGGTGGGTGAGGCGGCCGGGCTAAGGTGGATCCTCACTGACGGGGGCGGGCTGAAGTGGCCGGGCTAAGGTGGATCCTCACTGACGGGGGTGGGTGAGGCGGCCGGGCTAAGGTGGATCCTCACTGACGGGGGCGGGCTGAAGTGGCCGGGCTAAGGTGGATCCTCACTGACGGGGGTGGGTGAGGCGGCCGAGCTAAGGTGGATCCTCACTGACGGGGGTGGGTGAGGCGGCCGGGCTAAGGTGGATCCTCACTGACGGGGGCGGGCTGAGGCGGCCGGGCTAAGGTGGATCCTCACTGACGGGGATGGGCTGAGGGGGACGGTCCCTCCTTGCCCGGGCCCAACCTCTGCGGAGCGGGCTCAGCCCCGCCCGGTCCCCGCCAGGCGCCGGCGCCTCGTCCGCCGCGCGCGCTCCCCACAGCCGCTGAGCGTCCGCGCCCCACAAAGACTACAGCTCCCGTCACGCAACGCGCGACAGCGCCACGCTCGCGCGCGGAGGAAGGCGCCGGCGCCGAGCCCCGCCCGGCGGCGCGCGCTGCATGGCGGGTGTCGTCGTTCTCCCGGCGCCTTCCTCAGCCCCGCCCCGCGGGAGGGGCGCGGCGCCGGGCCCCGGGAAGAGCCCCGTCCCCGCCTCTCTCCGCGCTCGTTCCCCGCGTGAATTGCTCTCCGATCGCTCGCTAAGCAGCGCCTTGGGTGTCTTCCTGCACAGGTCGCCGTGTCCTTCCGCAGTTCCCGTAAGTTCCTGCGCAGCCCGCAACGCTGTCAGAGCTGGTTTGTCCTTCGGCGCCCGCCGTAGGCCGCCGCCTTCCCGCTGCCGGCGCCTTTGTGCGGCGGCGGAAGGGGCGCGGGGGCGGCCGAGCGGGCCGGAGCGGGGCAGCAGCGGGGCCGGTGCGGGGCAGGAGCGGGGCCGGAGCGCCGGCAGGTGCGGGGTCCGAGTCGCGCCGGGGGGAGCGAGCGCTTCTTCCCCGGGGCTTGCCCTGCGGAGCAAGGGCCGGGCGGCAGGGTGGGGCCGGGGGCGGCCCGGCCGGGGGTCTCTGACGGGGAGAGGCCGGGAGTGCCGCCGCCTCCCGGGCCTTAGGTGTGGGGGAGGACCCTGCTGGGGCTGCCAGGCGAGCTCCCCGGAGCGACCCCCGCGGGGTTTGGGATGGGGGCTTTGGTTCTGGCGCACCAGGTTCGTGCCGCTGTCAGCCGGGGGCGGAGCGGGCGCCCCTCCCGCTCCTCGGGGATCCCTTCCCTAGGCGGGCGGGGCGGGACCCGCGGTGTGACAGCGCGCCTTCCTGAAGCTGTGCCAGAGGGACACGGGAATGCCATTCGAGAAAGCCGACCTTTATTAGAGTACTTATTTATTTATTTATTTGTACTTAAATGTTTACAGAGGACATGAAGAAATACATGCGCGTACCCCAATATACACACTACTGAGCATACGTATGTGTTTCTTCATGTACTCTCTAAACATTTAAGTTCTGGTAGACATATTAGGCTTGCGGCGTTTTGCATTCTTGTCTGTGCTTAGGTGTGCAATGCAAATTCAGGTATTCTTCATTGTGAATTAGCGTGTTATATTACTAATATATTGCAGTGAAAAGTGAAAGATAAATACTGTCTGGGTGTTCTCCCTGCTGTTTTCAGTCTCAGCTGGCTCTGAAGCTGTTCAGAATCCTATGGCAAAATCAAATACTCCCATCGTGGGTACCTAATGTTTCTTTCAAAGTAGTTCCTTCAGACAGCATCAGAACTACCTTAGGAATGGATGCTGTCACAACATCATCATCAGTTCTGTTTGGTTTAAATCAATCCCTTGAAAATGTGTTAAGTGAAAGAAAAAGGGAAGTAGGAATGTGGGTTTTTTTTTTTCCAATTATTACTGACTTTTCAGGTTTCTGGTTGTGATAAGCTAGTGTAATTTCTTTAAGGATAACTTCTTTAAAGGAAAGCTGCTCTCTTAAAAAAAGCCCCAACAAACAAAAAAACCCAGACAACCAAAACCAAATCCACACAGTGACGTGATTTCTGTTGATCAGCGTTTCAGCCATGTCTGACAAAAGTGAACTGAAGGCGGAGTTGGAGCGCAAGAAGCAGCGATTGGCTCAAATCAGAGAGGAGAAGAAGAGAAAGGAGGAGGAGAGAAAGAAAAAAGAAGTAAGAAATAATTTTCGCTTTGAAGTTTGCCTTTGCATAAGTAACTTGCCCAAAATTTAAGGGTAGGTTCACGTAATTATCTGCTACGTGCAGTTCAGGGAGTGTCTGTTTAATGGATGTTGCCAATACAAATGTAGTACTTCCATCGTCTCAGGAGAGCAAACACCTACTGTTTTCTTTAGAATTGTCCATACAATGTTATATATTAGTTTGGGGTTTTTTTAATCCTACTACAATGCTGTAAAGTTCTGATTTCTTGTGTGTACGTGGCATCATTAGTCAAATCATTGTAAACTATTGCCTGAAAGCTCTGCTTAATAAGTTGGAGTGGTGTTAACTCATTTCTGAAGTACAGTCCCCAGGATGTCTATATGAATTGTCTGACTGGCAGTATTATTGTACAAATACCGTGCTACAGCATTCTGCTCTTTGACCCATCCATAGGCTGAATTTTAAAGTCAGATCAACACTCAGGGTGTGTACGGTTCTTGTGTGTTAGACGTGGTTTGTTAACATTGTCTTTGGATTTCTCTCTCCTAAAGTATGTGACAAGCAGTGATTTATTGCTGTTTCTCCTGAGTGCAGATCATGCCTTATAAAAGAAACTTTTACTGGAATGTTTTGGTGTTTGGGGATACTTTTTCAAGACTTCTCTGTGTTTTGGTTATGATCTGGTTGCTGTTCTGAATTAGGATATGACTGAAGACTGGACAGCTGCCAACTACATGATTCAGACAAAAAGGAGAGGGAAATATCTCAAATTATGTTCTAATGATCTTGTAACAAGATATTGCCTGTATCTGAGATTCCACACATGATGCAATAGCTTAGCAGCTGAGAACTTGCTCTAAAATTTGGGAATTGCTTTTTAAAAAAGCATTTTAATGATTGTGGAAAGATATGGAGTGTTCAGCATCTTTTATGGTAGAGCTTGCGTTATTTCTAAATTAAAGAGGATGAGGGTGTACATTTTTGAGTGGGTTTTTTTTGAAATCTAGCAGATAGTAACACAACTTAAAGAAAACTGCTTTTCCTTGACACAGTTATTGTAATTTCAAAATTACAATATGATGGTGTCTCTTTCATACACAGATACGTAATATTATTTCTTCAGTCTTTGCATATTTCAGTGCTTAGTATTACTGTAAAAAAAGTATTCTTAATCTTAAGAAGTGTTATTCAGTATGGCAAACTGTTTGGATGTTTATATATGTCTTTTAAAGACAGTGCCAAAGCTACAAAACTTTGCTGTTCCCATCTGTTTACTTTATCTACAAAAAGGACCATCAGAATTACTGGAGTCAAATACTTAACCTATATGATGATATGTTTCAGAAGAACAAAAAGGCCCTGTGAGGTCTCAAAATAAATTAAAGGTTAAATGCTATAACTTAATTATTGAATCACTTTTAGACTGACCAGAAGAAAGAAGTTCTTCCTGTACAAGAAGAATCTGATCTTGAAAAGAAGAGAAGAGAAGCTGAAGCATTACTTCAGAGCATGGGGTTAACGCCTGAGTCTCCCGTTGGTAGGAATGTTAATATTTGTTTCAGATAAATGTTTGAGATTTTTTTATTTGTTTTTGGGGGGGATTGAGGTGGTTTGGGGGGGGTTATGTTGGTGGGGTTTTTTTGTGGTGGTGGTTTGTTTATTTTTGTTAGGGTTGAGGTATTTACATATCTAAAATTAAAATTCTTACTTTTTGGGGGGGTATACGTGTCTGGTTTTAATACTAATTTGTCCTGCATGATCTCTGTTATAAAATGCGAAGTGATGTGCTTCAGTACACATAACACTTTTCTATTAAATACATGTTTTACACTTAGTGTGTTGTTTGAAGCATATTAGTTAAAATATCATGTATTAATATCATGTATGTGTTTTATTTCCCCTTCCCCCCATTTTTCTTGCACATTATTCTACTGTACTTTTTTTCCTTATTCTTTTTCATAATGCTAAATTTTAATCTTTTACACCCTTGTTTTTCTTTTATCAAATACCTGACTGACTTTGATGGAACAATAGCAAGGCTGAATATAAAAATTGATTGATTAATATCTGTGCAGCATATTGGTTGTTGATTTTTGCCTTTACGTAGTCACATTGTTCTGGAAGATGAAAGCAAAGAGTGTGATAGTTCAACTCCACTTTTTGTCTCTAACTTGGAAATTGAAGAGGTTTAAAGCTTAGCAGTTTGGGTTATTGGTAAGGTTCTATTTCAACTGGGTTTGTAAATAAGTAATAGTAATTTCTTATGGATATAGTATCTCTGTGATTATATTTTCATAATTGCTTTTGCATAATCCTCAAGTGTTCAAAAGCAAGCATGGAGTAAACAGCATTACTGCTGGTTCCATTCCAACAGCCACAGCAGTAATTTCTGGTAATTTGAACTCTTCTCATAGTTGAGAGAGTGCATTTGGGCTATGTTAGCATTACCATACAGCTTTTTAAGTAATCAGGTCCGACCTACTACTGATTTTGCTTGCTAGACTAATGGTTGAACACTTCCTTGCATTAAGTTTGCCAAGGCAGTTGATAAGACTTTTGTAGAAACACATATGGCTGTTGTTGGTTTGTTTTTTTTTTCAAATCTATGAGAGGATCCAAAAACCACAGAATAGTCAGTCCTCAAATCGCATTATTGCATGGGCTCAGAGTAGCTGTGCATGAGGAGCTCAGGGGTGTCGGCATCCAAGACTGGGGCGCAACCCTGCATGTTGTGGTTAACTCCACTGAGCATCTACTTAACCACACCCTTCAATGGCAGATTTGCAGGGGATTCATTCTGTTCCTTTTCAAGATAACCAGATCTGATGTGGATCCTAAGTCAAGCTAATACGTCCTCCTTGGTACCTCGCAATTAGCATGCCTAAGGCCCAGGCTCCTTTTCTGCTGACTGGGTACTGGCAGGTGCAGTGATCCCGTGCCTGAGCTGCTTGGTGTGCAGGAAGCTTGTGCTGTCACTGTCAGTGGAGGTGGATGGCTTGACATTAGATTCCTTCATAGAAAATTGTATGAAAAATTGCTAAGACAATTCCTGTCCTGTTAACTGCCACAGGGAGAGCTCTTTTATGGGAGGAGGGACCGTAACAATGTCAGTATGATTTTGATACCTACCATACTTGTTATATAAGAAGCCATAAGTTAGTGAACCAGAATTACTTTCAAGAAGGTATTATAGTTGAATTGTCTGTTGGGGGAGGTGAAATTTCATTTGTTCTTTTGGTAAGACTGTTGGTCCCTCAGTGGGATTCCCCTGAGTTATGGGAAGGCTCTCCCGAAAATCGCTTTCCCCGCAAGAGGGCGGTGCAGCACCAGCGCTGGGCGTGGGTTCCTCGGGCCCGTCCCGCGACCTCAGAATTTCTCTCAGCACGCCTGGTAATGCGCAAAAACAGCGATAGGGGGGCCTGTGGGCGTTTCCTTTGGGGTAAATTAATCGTGCATGGCGATGAGGAGTTGAAGAATTTATATATTCTTATACATCCCTATTTATAAGTCTGAGTATGTTTATGTGTGTATTCACGAAATATAACTCTAAACCTGTAAAAAAAAAATCTCCTGTTGGAAGAATTAATTTTGTAAAAAAAAATTGAAGAATTGACTGTGGGCTTTGTAAAATTACGGGAGAATTTTTGTCAACCAGAGTCGTGTCTCTGCTTTGGGATGGGATGGAAAAACTCTAGAATTCACAATATGCTTGTTATTTCAGGAAATTCTATAGAAATCTTGCAGATCTAAATTCAGAGTTCTCCTATGCCTGACTCCTGACAGAGTAGATACCAATTTATGTACATAATTTGTGTTCAGTTGAGTAACGGTTCTTTTTAAGGGATGCTAAGCAGTGAATGTTTGACATATTACTGAAAAATGAAGCATATGAGTAGCTTTAGCACACCCCCTGATTCTTAAGTATCAACCCTAAGTTTCATTAAATAATAAATTTGACTATTCCTAAAAAAAGTTGAAAGAAATGTCAAAATAACTTTGTGTTTGTATCAGATTGCATGATATCATTCACTATTATGTATCAGTTCCAAAAAACATGTTACTTTTTAAAGCATAAATGCAGTCTTCACCTGTATGCTGAAAATGAACTGACTCGTAAGAAAAAGTTTCAGTATAGCAGTACTAAACTCTTTACTGTCAAGTAAAAAAAAAAATCATCCTCAAAACCCAACACTAGAAACTTTATTGTAATACACAAGATTTATGTGGATTTGATTCAGACTAGAACAAGAATAACCGCATGTTGCATGACAAAGCCATGTTCTTGGTCCACGTTTTAGTGATCATATGTTTTGAAACAACATTGCCAATTTAACACATTCATTGTCTAATTTTTAACAAAGACTGATGTCAAAGCTGTATTAACAACTATCCTTTTTTATGTTTAAGCAACATGATCTAGTGGAAATTACCCTTTGAAAATCGATGTCATCATTTGTCAAAAGTTCAGTTTAAAGATATTTTTTCAGTTCATTTTCTCTTAATTGTCTCTCGCTCCATGTTTTTTTTTTTTGTATGCCCAAGGTGCATAAATGCCAAACAACTGCATGAAAGTCCAGCATGAATTGTTAACATTGTCTTTTCCCCTCTCTTTCTACTGTTCATTTTCATCCATGTACTTTTTTGTTTGCCATCACTTTTTTTTTTTTTTAATACTTCATTTTAAATTAATTTGAAAACATCCTAAGCTGTGCAACCTCTGCGAGTAGTAACAGCGGATACCTGTCTGTTTCACTATTTAGTCCCTCCTCCTACCTCTCCATCTTCCAAATCTGTGAGTACGCCAAGTGAGGCTGGGAGCCAGGACTCCGGAGATGGTGCTGTTGGATCTAGGTACGTCACTTTCCTTGTCATGTTGCTTTGCTCAGTACTTGTCTTTTGAATAATTAAGCTTTAGAAGGAGTCAAGGTTAATTATTTGATTATAATAGTATGAGGTTACAGTGTACAGGACTGTTTTGCAGAAGTGCTTTACTTTACAATTTGAAATGCAACTACAATAATGTGGAGTAGTTTAAACTTGCAAGTTTAAAGTAAAATGAATGTCTTGGGACAACAGCAAACTGGATAAGTCCAACTTCTGGGCTCTTCCAGCTTTTTCTAAAGGAGGGTGTGTATGAGTGATAGTGTATTTCCCTTTCTCCTCAGTCCTAGTTGGTCTAATAAAAGATAATGTCTACAGACTTTGCATTACTTCTGGCTTTAAGTTTTCCTTACTTAGAATCATATTTTTCATTATTTCACTTTGCAGCCATCTGTGTAACACACCTACAGCACTTGCAGTCTCTCTTTTGCCAAAACATAACGCCATCTTAGTGCAGCCACAGTCGTTTTGTTTTTTTTTCAGTGCCCATACTTGCCCCACCTATTTGACCATTTCTTTGTACATGATGATTTGGGACAGGCTGCTGTAGAGTCAGATGAATATTTCTGTTAAATATTGAAAGTGGTGATACGGGGGTGATAAGGTGGGAAATGCTACTTCCAAAGGGTATTTCTGCTGTTTCCCGTGCACAATCTGAGAATAAGAGCAGTAGCTGCCTGTTAATATTGGTAAGATATTTTCTCAGCAAATGAAGTTCCTCTACTTAAAATTTACTGAATATGCATTGTGGATGAAGTTTAGTTAAAGCACAGTAACTGCAGCAGTTATTACTTTTGATCTTGTATGAGCAATTGTTTTGGAGAAGGAATGAATACTTAGACCACTTTGAAACATCTTTTAAAAATACTGCAGTGATGTCTTGTATGCATGTGGATTATGCATTCTTAATTATATACAGTCTTAATCTTATTCAAAATATTAATGACCTGAACAGCAGTTTCATGGTGCATGTTTCTAAGTAGAAATCATTATGTTAAAACAGAGAATAGATCAGGTAGCAAATATGAACCCAACTTTTTTTAACAGTGCCCAAGTGTTAATCTTGTTTGTCCATCATGGTAATTAAGAGCCAATGTGATTGTTCCTTAACTGAGTAACAAGCAAATTTTAATTATTTTAAGTCTGTGATTATTGCTTATTTAATAGTCATTTTATATTTAAATTCACTGTCTGGAAGAAAAAACAAGAAGTATTTGATGATGACTTCTTTTAAAGAAAATAATTCCTTCCCATTCATACCTACTTTAAATTCAGTATGAAACAGTATATGTTGGCCACATACCTGGGAACTGAACACCATGTTGTGTACTAAATTTATTTCTACCTCATCAGTGCACTGTGCTCTCTGAGTGGATGTTCTCAAACATAGTAGCACAATGTTGTATGCATACATTTTCTTATGAAACCTTGAGAAAACTCGTATCCTAAACCTCAGTAGCTTGATGCACTTTCAAACTTTAAATCTCTGTCAAGATTGTGGTATTTAAGGCATGAAGGTTTGAATGTACAGCTAAATTGAAGGCATAATAGAGTCCCTGTAAGAGTCTCCTTGCTTATTCTCTAACCACTGGATAATATTCTTCCCCTCCCCCGGGAAAGAGGTGTCTGTATCCCAGACTAATAGTACAAGTTCATACATTTCTAACCTACCCATACATTTGAACCTGAAAGTTGGACTCTGTGGTATCACTTGGTCTGTTACCTGGTATTACACAAGTGACTCATATCAATGTGAGATGTGTTAGAAGGCCTCTTCTGTGATGCTGAATCTTGTCAGTAACTCTTAGTAATTAGTAGAACAGTGTCCAGACTGTTCCTGCTGTTACTTCCATCTGTCTTGCTTTGTTTCCAGCGCTAAAGAGTCGTTTCCTAGTTTGAGCCTGCTTTTTTTCCCCTTTTCCTCAGTTAAGAGTATAAATTCAAGACTAGAAATTAATATAGTTGGTTTGCTTTTTGGCTAGGTGGATGCTTCATTGAACTAGTTCCAAAGCAAGAAAGACTTTTTAGAGATATAGGAGGCCTTAGGAATGTGCCTGGATATGGGGAAGTTCAGGCATATGGGCACTTCTGTTCTCTGAAGCTTGTAGATAAATTCATGGAACTTATGCCTAACAAACAGCTGGAAAACTAAAGAAACAGTGGTTTACATCATTTTGGTACGTAGGTAATAGTTGAATTTTATCTCAGAATGTTATCTTTATTTTAAAATAATATCTCTGAGAAACATTTGTCTATTCTGCACTGCTTGACTTCAACTGTTTTAAAAGACAGACTGTTCCTGGCACCACTGAAACAACTGTTGAAAGTGAAAAAGAGTGCTTTGAAAGCAGGAAAGCTACCTCATTAAGGGCTAGATCTTAAGCAGGTGCAAAAGTTGGAGCCTTTTATATTTGTAGCCCTGTCCCCAAGTTCCTCTCAAATTGGATTGAAAAAGTTGAGAAAATGTTTGACAAGTATTGTGGTGATGCAACATTTGTATCTGTAGCCAAGTTACCCTTTGCAACATGAAGTTTGGGGTGGTGCGTTTTTGTTTTGCTTATGATTGAATGTGAAATGCAATATACAGCTTGAAGTCTCAGGCACCAAATTAAACTCCAAGCTTAATTCTCTTTGCTCAAGAATGATAGCAGAGATGTAACAAATAAATATACTCAAAGTAACTGACTTATGCTAAAATCATGTGTTTTCTGATGCACAAAAGATATGAAAAGGTTTTGGAGATTTAAGTGTGAAGTTATTGCTGTGGATGCCATTGATTTGCTAGATATGAAAACAGTGGATTTGTATTTCTTAATTAAACTATGATTAATACTTCTAATGCATATTACAAGAACAAGGTAGTGCATGACACTCATTTATGAGCTTTTATGGCATTGTGTGTACATTTTTCAGATCAATTTTGCTTTTAGGAATTCTGCTCTTGGTTTATAGGAAAGTTACCATGTATGGGTTAAAATTGTAAAATCACTTATTTTCTTTATTCAAAAACATGGTGTTTATATATATATAAAATAACATCTGAGAATGTCAGAAAAACCCATACATGTTAATCTGTTAATCTCTTATAAGTGCGTTTTTAAAATTGTGGCCAAGCCTGATAGCAGCCAGTAGACTACATGAAAATTTGTGAAGAAAGGATGAAGGCTAAAAATGAAGGGGGCAGGGAATATTGATTCCCCCTTCATATTTCTCCTGATACAAAAGCGACTTGAAATAGATCCATTCTGTTCATTATTCCACATGAGTTTGAAACGTGTTATTAATGTAAAGCCCACTATTTCTAAGAGATTTTAAGTATCTTAAATGGAGTTGGCTCTAACTCAGATGACACTTACAAGCCCAAGGCAGTGCTTAACCCATAATTACTGCAATGTCACATCTTGGAAACTCTAGCAGTTCTCTATCCCAGTGGAAATGCTTTTTGCCCTGCTACCAGAGGGCTTATGTGTTGACTCATTTCCTTTACCAATATGACAGTTTCCTCCACATATTTACTGCTCTGGGCAAGTTTGCATTACGTTAACAAATCTGCCTTCATATGACATGAACAAATTTGAACAGATTTTAAAAACAATGTGAAATTTTTAGTGGTTCTTGTCAGTATTTAAAATAATTTTAATTGCCTTTCATAAAGGTTACGTTTTTTGCAGGTCTTTAACTTTCAGTCTTTAAAATAGTTTAATTCTTTGCTGATAGCTCTGAATTCTGTGCTTCTTAACTTTTATAATTACTGCATGTGTTATTGCACTGAGTGCTGAATTTCCCATAACTGATGTTGCATTGCCTTGTTTCTTGTGAATAATGAAATAACTATAAGCTTGCTGTAACTCTAGAATTTTATAGTGTGTATTTGCTTCACTAATCTCTGGCCTTTTTTGCTAATGCTGCATGATTGTTCAACCTGGGGTGTCAGGACGCTGCATTGGGATACTGATCCATCAGTTCTTCAGCTCCACTCTGATTCCGATCTGGGGTATTGCATAGATTTCTTATATTCCCTCTTTCATATGCTTATGGATAATAAGTATAAGAACTTATTTTTTCTTTAAGACTTCAAGTTGTTGTTGTTAAGAAACTGTTCTGTAAGTAATGAAAATTTGCTGTCCCTAGACTTAGCACGGTTTGCTTGCAATGGGAAATTTTTATATTATTTAATATACATTAGATGCTTATTTGTAATAACAAACCTTATTTGTGTTTTTCTTTGAGTCTTTCTTTGACAAAATGTAATTTATTTAAAAAAGGTTAGAATGACTGTATTTAAAAACAGAATAACTCCCATCTTTCGTTATAAATATGTTTATAAAAGCTGTATCTCATTATAAGCACTTACTAAAACCCGTATTATGCTCTAAGAATTATGCTTCTGCTTACCAAACCCTTTCAAAAGGTGTTACTCTTCCACTTTTATCTTAGGAAAGGAGTGGATAATAAAAAATTTAATTTGATATAGGTAAATTGTTGGATCATTGCAGTATTATTACAGGACATACTGCAATTAGCTTTTACAGGAAGCTCCAATGACCAAATTAATTTTGTGCTGGTTTTGGAAGTACATTATATATTGCAGTTTATAGAATATATATTGCAGTTTATAGGATCTTCCATAAACCAAAGCCAGAAAGCTCAGAGGTTTTCAGTATTGTGCTCTGGAATAATGTATTATGGATAAATCACTTGTCAGTGGGAATTTCAGGTTAGACTTGCAGTTCTACATTCTAAATGCTGTGTTAGAGGTGAACAAAAAAGGGCAGCAAAGTTAAAAGACTAGGAAATGCTTTTTCCTTCAGAATAACTAAGTTGGTTTTCAAACTTTAAAATCCTAGAACAGTTGCTGTACAAACGTGATTTATCAGCAGATCTGTTCCACTGAAAATAGTGTGGTGTGTGATATATGTGGCAGTATTCTGGTCAAACACAAAGAGCAAGAATTTAAAATTATATCCTACAGTCAGGATGTTTATATATGCACGTATTTCTTTTTGTCACAGATGTATAAATAGCTGATTTAAAATAACAATGATAAAAAATTAGTAATAATTGTGTGACTTCTTCAGAGTTAAGCTTTCATTGGATTTAAGTTTGACTAAGCAGAGCTGTGAACAGGATGACTTGGGTATTAGGTAAAATGTGAAATAATTAATAAAGTTAAATGTGGGTTTTTTCTGATTTCTGTATTAATTTTATTTAGGCGTGGACCTGTTAAACTTGGAATGGCCAAAATTACACAAGTTGACTTTCCTCCTCGAGAAATTGTTACATATACAAAGGAGACACAAACACCTGTTATGACTCAGCCAAAGGAAGGTGAATGATTAACTTACTACTACCTAAGTTATTTTTTTTGTTTCTTTGGTTATAGTAACGATGACTGGGTGAATTAAAACCAGCATTTATGATCTTGAGACTTAATAAGGTAAATTAAAGTTGATATGGGAGATAATTGATATAAATTGTGTTATTCACACAGGTCTTGCTAACTGTCATTCTGCATCTTGTTTAACATTACTCTTACTACTAATACATGGTATTTTCACACTCCTAGTAACTGTTCAGCTTAGACACCGAGTTGCTTAATTAGCTGACAGCTGATAAATAAATGGGATATATTTTGCATTTATGACATTTAAGAATACACACACAACTTGGTACCTAGGAAGTGCTCAAGACCAGGCTGGGTGGAGCTCTGAGCAAGCTGGTTTAGTAGAAGGTATCCCTGCCCACAGCAGGGAGGTTGGAGATGATCTTTAAGGTCACTTGCAAACGAAAATACTAGTTTTGATCTAACTTGTGTGTAGTTCTACAACACAATCTCTTTGTTGTTAAATATGACTGACTTTGAGCATGTGTCTTTGCTAGCAATTTTAGGACCTAAATCTACATTCATAATTTTGCATTTTCCTGCTTTTTGATATGTGAACTTTTGGGTCTTTATGCAAGGATATGTCTTTCAAACTTCATTATTCAGAGAGCCAGAGGATATGCTTTTTTGCTAACTGTGTTTCTTTTCCATTCTTCATTTTATCTGTATCCCTGCACTGATAAGTGTTTAGGGTTTTCCTGCTTTCATTTCTCCCATGCCCTTAACGTTTCCTTTCTCTAATCCCTCAGGTCTCTTTTCCTTCCTTCAGGTTCATGGAATCTGAAGACTCAGTTCATAGTTTATGTGCTTGAAGAGTTTTATTTCTGCTGCCTGTTGACAGTGGAAATTGCTTGGGATTGTATGATCTGAGTTTCACAGTGGATAGGCTGTAGTTGAGGTTTACTGTAGTGCAGTTGGAAAGGTGGTCATCTTTATTTCTGCATTTACCAGAAAGCTCTCTAATACACGTGTTGTCTCCTGATCCATTCCACCTTAGAAATACTCATTTCTTTAGAACCATCATAAATTTTTTAATGTACGTGTGTTTACAGGTGCCTTTTCATCATATTAGTGTCAAAGATCTTTTTAAGGTCTCTCTGCATGAATACATTCATAATTAAGCTCTATGTTCACATTTTACAATGACATCTCAAATACGACATAGAGTAAAAAGAGTAAATCATTCTGCCTCCAAAAAAGGAGTCACTAGGTAAGAGATTTTTATTGTGGGAAGAAAACTTTGAACTCTTTAAAAACAATTGACAAAAGCAATATACTGAATTTTCAGGGTGCAGTTAGATAAAGTTAAATGCTATAAAATGTGTCTTACAGATTCTTATTCTCACAATCTGAGTTGTTGTGGTTTTTATTTATTTAAGAACATGTACTGTAAACAAAGATAATCTTGTGAAGTACACTTGAAAGGGTAGCTTGCAACTGAATTTACACCTGCAGTAGCTCCTTTGTACAGGAAACAAGCTGCATCTGAGCTGGGTTAGATCCAATGACCACACCTCCGTATAAAATTAAGTGAGCTGGACCCTTAATTAATATATCTTTAGACTTTAAGATGCTGCTGGAGCTGTACTTTTGAATAAAGGAAAATAGAAGTAGTTTTATTAGATATGCTGTGCAGTTGTTCTGCAGGTTTAGGTCCACTGGTGCCATAGGTTTCATTGTGCTAACACTGATCTGGAGGGGGGGTGGATAAAAACAACAAACCCGCAATAAAACACCAAACTAAACACTTCTCTCTGATCCAATTCTGTGTGGCACAGTGGTTTTGTAGTTGTATTGTAATCTGAATTAGGAAACATTCAAACTACAGCCAGTCTGTCCCACTAGGGACAGATAGAGAGGAAATAGAAGTAAACTAGTTTTAAAACAGTTTCTAGTTGTTACGGAAATGGCAACACATGCCAAGTAAGTTAAATAGGAGAGACTTCATGTCCTCAACTGAAAGTTGGCATTTGGAAATGCCTGCTTTGGATTCAGTGTAACAATTAAATTAATTTTGAAATGTGACAGCTTCCTTGGGAGGTGAAGGCATTTAGTGTGCTAACAGTTCTTGCAACTTCCATTATATTAGTGCAGTACTAGTATGTTGATTTGTTATGACCTCCAAGTGTTTGAGAAACTGCCTATCTTAGGAAGATTGAGTCTTTCATTGTAAAACAATAAAATTGGGATCTCCTAGAAATCAGTTTCACTGAGATTATAGATTGAATCTTATTTAGAGTGGTAAGTATTTTGCCACAGGAAGTCATTCACTGTATACTGAACTCTATGGAATTTTAAATTTCCCCTTTAATTGAAGTTAATAAACATGTTTCACATAGGAAGGCATATGTGTTTCACTATAGGAAGATGCCCACATCCAAAGTACACATACAAGGTAAATTTGCAATACTTGTTGGGTTGTTTTTCCTCACACTGTTGTTTTGATTTTTTCTCTTAAATTTTTTTAGTGTTCTGACCCTACTTTTCTGTAGCAGCTCTATTTGTTATGTAAAAGAAATGAAATGAAATTATGAAATTATTCATTGTTATGAGGAATATAGCAGAGAAAATAGGTCCTTTTATTTCCTTGTTCTCTTGGAATGTTCTGTTTCTGTTTTGGGGAGTTTTGTTATTCTGTACATACAGTAATGATGACCATCTTTTTTATTTAGAGACCAATTACATTTTTTTTTGCTTGATAAAAGTGTTGTGCCACACTTGATGCTGTTCTCCTTACTTGATAAACTAAGCCTGAGTGTCTCTGTCTGTGTGCCACTTCTACACTTTAATAACTTGTCATGATCATAACATGAACATACGGTTTTCAGGTTGCTCCATTGTCCAGCATCCTTGTTCTGACATCCCCTTTCCTGCTATCTACGTCTGTTTCTCACTGATGCTGTGTGTAACACTTCTCCTGCTTCCCTCATTGTTCAGTGTTGGTGTGGTCAGCTACTTATTAGGGCTATTATTTAACCTCTATATGGCAACAGATTTTTCACATCTACTATCTGAAAATACATTTGAAATTGTGTTCCATTCCGTGACTCATTTCCTTCTAGCAGGCAGCAGAAATAGTTTCAACAACAGAGATGTAATTCAGATGTGAACTCTGCTGTGTCTTAATGTTCTGCAGGCTCTATGTTGGCCAGCACACACAGTGTTCTAATCATTGGTGATAATTCTTTTTTTCTTATCTATACATCTTACTACGCTGCTCTCTATCATACTGTTTGATCTCTTCCTTTGTGATTTGGTAACATATTGTTCAGAATCACGTGGAAAGAAATCATTCACCAATACACCCAGCAAAGATGTGTTCTGAGTCCTCGAAGTCATCAGTTCAAAGGAAGATGGGCACATAGGGGAATTTGATTTTACGCAGCTTTCACAATTAAGGCAGACAGTATTAATGTATTAGCTCTGCCCTTTGAGGAATAATTGTCTGCTAATGTCTCTAAGACATAGAATTAAAATATTAAGCAGAGTAATAACAGTATGGTGTATGGGATTTGCTCCTTGGATGCTGTTATGGTGAATGTAGCATTTATGCATTTTAATATTTTAATAATAATAGCAGACTCTTGTATATTCATGCATGATCCTGTTGGATCCCTTTCAACTCAGAATATCCTGTGATCCTGTATTATCTAGTACATGCCTTAAATGCACAGTGAAATATAGGTGGGAAAACTTGATATGAAGACATTCAGCTTAACAAAAGCCACCCATTTCACAGATGATTTAACTTTGATTAACCTACTCTGCAGCAACAGATTACCCAGACAACTGGAACTCCACTCTACAGTGTTTATTGCTAGGTGCAGCCTAATTTATAGCACTGCTTTTCTTTCTGTCTTGCCAAAATACATCACGATTTCGATGTTAACTCAAAAATTCAGTGGTTCATTAAATCTGTTTTTAGCATTCATTGACAAGAAATTTGTTGCTATTAAAGATTGCATAGAAATAGCAGCTACTTTGCTGCTCAGTTTGTAACCTTAGATCCCCTGTTTGCCTGTCAGAAACAATATGGTGTTAATCCCTTAGCATATTATAATGAATATTCATTAATATGTTGATGTGACAGTCCCATTTCCTGTCTTCATGACCCTGTGACTTTTCCTAGTCTTAGAAACCCTTTTTTAATCTGAAATTGTATTTGGTGTACTGACAATTGAAGTGGCATAAAGTACCCGTAGGGACAGTCAATAATGAATAAGGGGGATGAAGTTAGGGAGTGCCCTTAAGGTTTCCAGACTGAGGTGACTGACTTGAAATAAATGCAGTACACAACTGTATCATGGGTTCTTACTAGATGTGGAACTTTTTCAGAAGTAGCGTGTCCGATCTTTCAGTCTTCGGGTGATAAATTATTATTATACCAATTCCTTGCAAATTCCAGCATCTTGCTTGTTATCAAATAAATTCAAGGTAAAGGAGAGACAGGAAAAAGTAATTAAAACAAACACTTCTTACCTTTTTTTGTAGTCCAACAGTTTAATGCTGCCTTTTTTGATTGTAAACTTCTGTGAGAAAGCTTCCCAGGTTTGGATAAGGAGCATTCTAGTTTTGGATAATAACGTCAAGAACTTGTACATGTGGGGGTTTTTTGTTTTGTTTTTTTCCCCTACAGATCCGTTATTGAAAAAGTTTGCATATGACTCTTTTTTAGACAGAATGTTTTAGATTTATGTAGTTACAGATAAATCAGTGAGATGACACGTTCAGTTTCAAGTCTGATACTTCGAGAATATTAAAATAAGTGCTGTATCCTGCATTTAAATGCAGTAATATCAGCTGGCCATATGCAGTGAAAGTACTATGAAGGAATTTATAGCTCTGTATAATATATGCCATTTATGTTTCAAACATTAAAAGGCAAGAGCAATCAACTATATGATCCTTTGAATAAAATATGTAGATTAGAAGGTCACTTAGCACTAAGGGGTTGACCATCTACTTTGACAAGAATTTGACTCCTGTCACTGAAAATGGTACTTAAAATCAGTGTAGTATGACTAATGGGGGGTTGGGCTGAAATTTCTAATTTGGGACTTTCAAAGCTAGAATAATGTATCCAGGGTGACCCAAACCCAAATCTATAAATTTGAAGGCATCATTTAATTCTGCAAGATTGATTGGTAGCACGAACGAGGGGGATTTTTATCCAAGTGAATGTAAAATGTGAATATGTGGTGCTGTATTTGTTGATCTTAAAATCATGTGTGTTAACTCATATTACATTTTTTAATTAACCATTGTTCACACCTGTAGTGATTTGACATTAAGAATTCCATTCTTTGGAATGGTTACAAGTTATACAGTTTTCAGGTTACAAGTCCGCTGTACATGCGAATCCATCTAAAAAGGAGCAGTGTCTTTCTGTTTCTCTGCGTGATTATTTTGCCCAAAAAAGCTTTCATTTTTTTTAAGTAGCACAAAAGCTGTAATTGGCATGCTTTGTAAGGAAGTGTCAATGTGCAAGAGAGTGGAGATCACTAAGAATTCTTTTACGGGTTCTTTCCCCTTTGCACCACCGCCTCCTCAGCAGGGTCACTGAGATCACTAGCTTTTCTTGAAATGGCCATTTTCACTGGCAGGTGCATTATACCCTGTATTTTCAGATTGTTTTTCCATTCTGAATGTTTGGCAGGTTGATTGCTCTGGCTGCATTGACGGAGAAAGGGCTGACAAATGCGGTTGGGCTGGCTGAAAAGACAGTGATTACTGTTTTCCTTTGTGGCTGATTGAGGCCCTTGAAAGGAAAGATTTTAACCTTCACCATTTGGTTCAAAAGTATGAGCATATATTGAAATCATTCATGCCATTTATCCTAGTTCTGTAAACTTGTCAGAACATAAAAATCGCTCAATTTCAAGTAATGTAGGATTGGCATACGTCATTATCATTTTGATTAAGTTGGAGTTTGTATTATTGTGTGCATTATACAGTGTCATTTAAAGCTTTCTTTCCTGCAGGTACAGTTATATTTTTATTGCCTATACTATGGAGTTAGAAAGATTTTCAGACCTCTTTAAACCTATCACTATGTGTGTGGTTTGGCAGCTGGTATGGCCTACAAGCTGTATTTTGTTTGCAGGGTAAAGGCTTGTCTGTAGACCTCCTGGAGTGCTGGTAATTGCACAGGCTTGCCATTGGGGAAAGACATGATTGGAAGCAGTCAGGCAGAAAAATGTTGTGCCATCCCATTGCCACCTCATAGCAGAGAGACAATCCTAGCAGTACCATCTGGTTGTTGCTATCTAGTCAGCTGGCCTGGCTGCTGGGACCATGGCTTGGCAGCTGGTTCCCATCCCTTGACCACCCCCTATTTTTTTTTCACCCTTTTTGTGTGCATGTGTGTGGATTTTTTTTTCCTTTACTTTTTGTGTTAGATAACTTTGAACATGGGTCAGGGAGATGGCTGCAATAAACAAGCCCAGTCCCTGTTGAACGCTGTCTCATTACTTGTGATGAGGCATGCAGCAGTCTCCTGCTGCCATCCCCTTATAAACAGATGACATAGCTGTTTAACCAATAAAAAGAATCTTTTCAGAAGCTTATTCTAGAAAGTGGATGAAGAAAAGCCAGGAAATACATATTCCACAACACTAAGTCATTTAATAGGTATTTTCTGGTTTACAGCATTCAAAGAATAAAATGTAGAAATGCAGAGAGTGCTGTAAGCCTTGTCAGTATTCCCGAACATTAACATTTTGTTATTCATTGCAATTAGGGAAAACACATTTTCCTGTAAAGTTCTCATTGCCAAACATGGTACAGATAATGAGACTTGCATCTAGAATGACAGAAAAAATGTAATCTCTCTGCTATTACCCTTAGCAAAATTTGCCTCTCAGAATAGCAACCTGAAAGCTAATGTAAGCCATCTTCATGCCATGTGCAGACCCATTAGACTCTGATGGTTTCAGATCACAAGAAAGCAGCTGCTGTAGGCTTAGACATTTGATTTTTTCTTTATTCTGCAGCATTAATGTGTCAGTATGTTACACAGAACATGCATCCACCACATGGTTTTGTGTGGAATCATAAATGCCTGTAAGAGATTTCTGCTTTAGATTCTTTACAATTTCTTTTGTGTCTTATTTCAGTTTATGCAACTACGTAATTTAGTGCAACTCACACCCAGGTGTAGACAGTATTCCAGTGATATTTTGGTTGTTATGTTATCCTGGGGACTGCATTTTACAAATACAACCATTTTAAGCTGCATGATACCATTTTACATCAGCTTATTTGAGATTCACGTGGAATGTTACTGTTACTCTTTAGAAACACTGACAGTCTCACCATAATGTTTCTCCTTAGATGAGGAAGAGGAAGATGATGTGGTTGCACCAAAACCATTAGTTGAACCTGAGGAAGAAAAAACATTAAAAAAAGAGGAGGAGGAAGAAGGTACTGTTCAGCTCAAGACATTCTCTGTGTGCTGTAAAGAAAGGCATCAATACATTTTTATCTTTTTGTTTCATTAATTTAAAATTAATTTGTTCAATATCAATCAGCTAGCAAAAGATGAAATGTAAACATTATTGAAAATCACAATAAATACTCATTTTTCTTTCTTGAAAAGAATTGGTGAAATCATGCAGTCCAGAAAATGTATGTACAAATTTTTTTCAGTTGCCCCTCATGAACTTACAGAAGAGGAAAAACAACAAATTTTGCATTCTGAAGAATTTTTAAGTTTCTTTGATCACTCCACAAGGATTGTTGAAAGAGCCCTTTCTGAGCAAATCAACATTTTCTTTGACTACAGTGGAAGAGACTTAGAGGACAAAGAAGGGTAATATGAATGTTGAATACTTTCCTGTGAATGTCCAATACTTTTAATTGAAAAAGTGATCTAAGATTAATATTTCTTAATTGTCTTTGTAGAGAAATTCAAGCAGGAGCGAAACTGTCCTTAAACAGGCAGTTTTTTGATGAACGTTGGTCAAAGCATCGTGTTGTCAGTTGTTTGGACTGGTCATCTCAGGTAAAAAATAATGCTTAGATTAAACAGTTACCTTTGTAAATTGTTCTGTGTATTCGATTGTGATAAAAAGTACGGTTGATACAGGCTGCATTTCTAAATGTGTTCTTTCCATGGTTTGCAAGAAGTAGACAGAGCTGTTAATCTTTTGTGAAAAGTAAAAAGGTTTGTATTATGAAACAAGCCTTTGGTATATTTGCTTTTGGTTTATGGACTGCTTTGAAAAGGTAACTCTGAGCTTCACTGAAAAGAAAGCTCACTTAAAAGTACTGGGTTTTACAGTGAAAGGAAGTTATGATGAAAGAACTAGACTGATGTGTGCATTAATGCTGTTTTATGAACAAAATTAGTAACAATTACGGTTTTAACTGACAATTTTTCATTGAGTTATAATGTAAGGTGTTTTTTTAACCCTATTTTGGTGAAAGAAACAAAAGATTCTAGGATTATGTGAACCATTAGCCAGTCATCTTGCTTACTTTGAGTTTTTTTCCACTTACTGTGCAGTACCCAGAACTGCTTGTAGCCTCTTACAACAACAATGAGGATGCGCCTCACGAGCCTGATGGGGTCGCCCTTGTATGGAATATGAAGTACAAGAAAACTACTCCAGAGTATGTCTTTCACTGCCAGGTATGATTCTACCTTGGGAGGCTCAAGATTTTGTGATGATGAATTTGGACAAGTACCTTCCTGATGTTTGTCAGTGTAATAGTTTCATTGGGCTGGCATTCACTTCAGTCACATTTATTTGCCAGCAGATGTTGATACCTGGAGATTGCGGCTGAGAAACACTATCCTGTTTCAGAATTTCTGACATCATTCAGAATTCAGTCTTGTTTGAGAACTGATTTTCTTACTTTATTTAAAAAACAAAAAAAATCTTCTTGTGTAATGGTTGAACCTCAAAGGTTTGTATGTAAGGGGATAGAGTGGGATTGTATATAGTACTACAGATTATTTTACTGAATAAAATGAAGGCAGCCTGAGGAGATGGAGCAAGGATGAAAACTAGAAGCATTCATCAAGAAAAAGGCAGATAGAAGTTTTCTAGTAGTTTTCTGAAAGATAAAAACATGCAAATCACTTGCATTGTGCTAAGCCCGAGATAGCCGCTTTTTTCTGTTGTTTCGGAAAATTACGTAGTTGAATCAAAATTTAACCTCAAGTTGTCACATTACTGTCACAGCCCGGATTGCAGAAGTAACTTTGTTGTATCAAAATGTATTTCTACATTCTCTAAGAAAATAACTACAGAACGTGGCGAAAGATTATTAACATTTTGTGGGTTACTGGGCCTTCCTTTGCTAACAAACTATGCTAGGAGCAGTATAGATGTATATGAAAGAAAAGAGGAGGAAAACTTCATTTTATGATGATAAAAAGATTGTTGAAGGGTTACAAAGGGTATGTGAACCCTTAAGTTCACTGGACATTGAAATAGTGTATTGAATAAATCTAGGCGAAGAACTTGTTCTGATATTTGTCCTCATTTGCTTTAGACATAGTGTCATTGAATGATAGTTTATGCATATTTTGTTGTTTGTTTTTCTTCCCTTCAGTCAGCAGTGATGTCAGCTACATTTGCAAAATTCCATCCCAATCTGGTGGTTGGTGGCACATACTCAGGCCAGATAGTGCTGTGGGATAATCGCAGCAATAAGAGAACCCCAGTGCAGAGAACACCACTGTCAGCTGCTGCTCACACGGTAGGAGGTGAAATATCTTCAAGGACTGTGCCATGTTGAGATGTGTTCAATGTCTAGGAAACTCTGTCCAGTGCTACCTGATTGATAATGCTTAAATGTTTATGTCCATATTTTGGACATTCAGAAAAAAATCAAAGTGTCATAAAAATCAAAGTGTCAAAGTATCAGTTTTATAGGGGAGTATTTGTATTTTTGGTTGTGTTCAATCTTTCATGCTTTGTTAAATGGTGAAGTTGTATATTTTACTGTGTGTTAATTATATCAGAACAGTTATTACCTGTAAATTGCTTTCTGATAGTATTTTACGTTTCTTAGCACCCAGTGTACTGTGTGAATGTTGTTGGGACCCAGAATGCTCATAATTTGATTAGTATCTCAACTGATGGGAAAATATGCTCTTGGAGTCTGGACATGCTTTCCCAGCCACAGGTAAGATAACTTTGGATATATATATATAGTATTTATTCCAGGTCAATATTTTGTAAAAAATTTAATTAACTTGAGAAACATTAATCAGTTTCCCAACACCCAGAATTAAAGTAGCTTGATATTTGATAAAATATTTCCCCACCTGGGGAATCAGATATTTTCTGTTGGTCCTTTTGTATATTTTCATTGCACTTGTATTAGTGGTGAAAACAATTTTAATAAGAAAACTTCCTTAGTCCAGCCCAGTCTCTACAAGTGAAATAAAAAACCCTTCCTATTGCAAAATCTAAATGTTTTTGTAGGTGTTAATATTTCTTTTCATAAATTAAGTTGCTGATATTTTCACTACAGGATAGCATGGAGCTGGTTCACAAACAGTCCAAGGCTGTGGCTGTTACCTGCATGTCTTTCCCTATTGGAGATGTCAACAACTTTGTTGTTGGCAGTGAAGAAGGCTCAGTGTACACTGCATGCCGTCATGGCAGGTGAATACAAACTTTAATTATTCAGAGGAAATAAAAACAGTGAAAGGATGAGTCCCTGCATGCTTTACACTCCTAAAATTATTTAAAATGCATATTTCCTCCTTTGTGTTGAAGGAGTTCAGAGTAGTTGTATGTGAACTGCAGTGCACGCTTTTTCCTGAGTGAGAGCTTCATTAAAATAGGAGAAGTTGGAATATTGAATTGGTTTTATGAGTTGTGTTGATGAGGACAGCATAGGTCACTGTGGTTTCATTCATTTGAATTGTAGCAGAACATTCCAAACTTCGTATCAGTTTTGTAGATAATTGTACAGTAACATCACGCACAAATCTTAAATTGGCTAGCTGTGCTCCTGCTGTTCAATCTATTTTGAAATTGTCTTGACTGTATCTTATCAATTGCTTTCTTAAATACAATTGAGTGTCCAGGTTTCATCTCAAATACACATCACCCTCGCTGCACAGCTTTTTGGTTCCAAAATACCCAAAATTGTATCACTTTTGTGTAACATCCTTCCCATCTGTTCCCCCCCCTTCTTTTTCATTGCTCCTGATAGGAGGCTATTAGGGATATATTGTTACTGGTTTATGTCTGAACCCCGTGTCCATAAACTACATGCAACTTCTCTTAAGTCAGTGGGAGTTTTATGCTCATTCCCAAAGACTGGATTTTGTTCCTTCTGTGAATGGAAATTTTAGCTATTGCTTGGAGGACAATGTAGTTGAATGTGTGGACTGGTACCTGCTGAATGAGTCTCTTCTCCCTGGGATATATTCTGGCACTGAGGGTTAGTAGAAAATAGATGTTGAACTTAAGGTCTGTTTTCAAGCCTGGTCTTCTGTGATCCTGCTGTGGTGAAGCCTTTTGCAGTGAGGTAACATCCATATAAAGCAGCAAAATCTTCCTGTGGCTATGTTTAAATTGCATTTCAGTGCTATCTCTGTCTGCAGATGTACAGTTTCCAAATAAATTAACCTTGGTTGTATATTCTGAAACAGCAAAGCTGGAATCAGTGAGATGTTTGAAGGACACCAGGGACCAATCACAGGTATCAACTGCCATGCAGCAGTTGGACCTGTAGACTTCTCACATCTTTTTGTCACCTCTTCTTTTGACTGGACAGTAAAGCTTTGGACAACTAAGGTAACTTAGATAGTTCAGTGGTTTTCTTCGTAGCCCTTGACACAAGGTGGTGCTATAATGTAAGCCACTTAAGGCAGTTCACTAATCTGAAGTCAAATCCTGTGAAGCCCTGAGGTTCTTAGCTGGAGTCCTGCATAGAGGAGGCAGCTGATGGGCAAAACTGCATTTAACAACATAAAGCTTTGCTTTCAGCTTGTACATCATTTGTGTACTTCTGATCCATTCTTTTCACCCTTTTGCCCTTTGTTATCAACAATGATTACAATGTAATCAAATGTAAATCATGTTGTAAAGTCAGTTGCTTCATATATTCATAAGGCAAATGTTTTGCTACAATTTTTGTGGTGGACTAAGGGACAGCACCAAAACTGATGTCAGTTAAACTTCATGAGGCTCACAATTGAAATATGTCATTCCTATTGCCAGAATTACTTCTTTGACAGTTTGATGCCCTGAGGAATGCAAAGCAGAGGAAGCAGGGTTAAAATCTCCCAGTAATAGTCTGAAGTGCTGTCAGTGAATTATCATTGGCTTGATTCACAAGATTCTTAATGCATTAAATTGACAATCTTTTAAAATGTTGTCTTGCTATGGATTGTTTTCCAGTAGCAGCCAGCAAAAGGGCTGCATGCTTTGGAAAGCATGCCTTTAATAATAGCATTAATTTTGGGCTGCTTTCTGCAGAGGCATTTTTTTAAAGCAAATCAAAATGTGAATTACTTTTTAGTTATATTGAAGTTCTGTATTTTGGTTTGCCCTTTAGCTTTATAATTTTGAAATGCAGGTTTTGGGTATTGCATTTTCATCTTCACTTTTTTTCAGAATAACAAACCTCTCTACTCCTTTGAAGACAACTCAGATTATGTTTATGATGTGATGTGGTCTCCAACTCACCCTGCCTTGTTTGCCTGTGTGGATGGGATGGGCAGACTTGACCTGTGGAATCTCAACAATGATACTGAGGTGAGGAAGTCAGGTTAACAGTCAAATGTAGCTGGAAAACTGTTTGTACACTTAAGAAAAAGTCAAGAGTTTACCACAGTGTTTTGATTTGGGTTTTTTTGTTGTTCTTAGATATTCTGTAGTTCAAGTAGCTTCTGTGTAATAGACTGCATTCTTTGATTACAGGGTTGCAACTCAAATGACTCCTCATAATGAATAACAGCAGTAATTGTTTTACCTGTAACAAAAGTGCAGAACATCTGTTGGTATAACACTGATCCATGTTGTGAAAGTGATTATAGATCTCCCACCCTGTGGCCTTGTCAGCCTAGAGCTTAACAGTGTGAACAAACCTCTTACCACAGGCCTGTTCCTGTTGCCATGATAACACTGCAGTGAAGGTGTCATTTTTTTTCTCAACTTATGAGAATTGACTGTTTGGTTTTCCAGTGTGAGTTATGAACTGCAGTATAGTATAAATCTTTCCCAAGACTTGTTGAACATAGGTCACGGGAATAACCTGACAGATACTTTCTACTTTAATTTCACCTTTTTAAAACTACATATAGAAGAAAGTTGTAGACCATATCCAGGCCCTGGCTTCAAATTGGAATTACCTGCCTTTTGGACAGGACTTGACCTGCTAAAACAGCTGATTTCATCCCTGCCCTCTGTCATAATCTTTCTTGAGATCCCAGGGCTCCTTGTCATTGACTTGAATAATGCCTGTCTGTGCCTCCTGTCTCACAGGAAGAGTGCAGCTGTGCTTTTTGATAGAGGACATTTGAACTTTGGCCAAGGGACAGAAAACGTGTTGTTTTGGTCATGTCACTGAGAGTCTTTGAATGGTGTGCAGTCTCTGCTCTGCCTACTGCACATCAGCTGAAGGGCTGGGAGCTTCTTTTGATACAACAGGGAGGGAGGAGGTGTGTTCTGTGATCTGTAGCTTATGGAAACCTGATGCATTTTTAGCAATGTGCTTCAAATCCACATAGGTACCAACTGCAAGCATCACTGTGGAGGGCAACCCTGCTCTGAACCGTGTGAGATGGACACATTCTGGGAGAGAGATTGCTGTAGGTGACTCAGAGGGACAGATAGTTATATATGACGTGGGAGAGGTATGTACACCATGTACTGTGCAAAGTATATTGAGTTTCTTTGCCCTTTACTTAGCAACCTGCTTTTCACTTTTTTCTCCTGTCATTACAGAAATCACTTTTAGGTATAATTTTTATTTTCAAATTAATGATTCCTTTTAGTGTTTTATTTAGGGTGTTCTAGCATAACTTTTTAGTGTGCTGTCTCCCAGTTAAAAAGGTGAACTAAAATGAAAGAATCAATGGCTTTTGTTTGTAGAGACTTTGTCGTCTTTGTACCCGAGGCACATGTGAAGTCTGACTGCAGTGGAGCAGTGTTGATTTTGTTCCTACAGGGATGCTGTTGCTCTTGCAAGTATGTGTACTGCAGTAGTACAGAATTAATTGATGGGCTGAGGATGTAGCATTAGCATTCCCTTTTGGAGGCAGTCTCTCAGATGAAGATGTATAGCCCAAGCTTGTAATTATATCATTATATACTTAGAAGCAGGAATTCTCAAATTCTGCTTCTTTTATTAGTTAGAGCTATTGATGGCCAGACAGTTTTTAAAAGTGACACTAAATAAAGGTAAGCTCTTCCATCAGAACCTCTTCTGAACATTACTGAAGTGCTCTGCTGTTCAAGGTGAGCTCAGATTTATTTATCAGTAGGTCTAAATAACACGCTCTGTCCACAGCAAATTGCAGTTCCTCGTGGTGATGAGTGGACTCGCTTTGGTCGGACACTGGCAGAAATAAACGCCAACAGAGCTGACGCAGAGGAGGAAGCTGCGACCCGAATCCCGGCCTAGAGCTTAAAAACAGGCAGCACTGGGAAACTTGGGAATGATTTGATGCAAATCCTAAAAGTGCAAGCATGTGTCGGTTCAAATCGTAGCTTAAGGGAGGAATATATGGATTCAACTATGGACTTTGAAAGCCTATTAAGATCACTGAAAATCAGATCTTGCATTGTCACTTTTTATATATAAATTACAAGCACATTCTTGGATTTGTGTAACTTTTAATACAGTTAACTTTGCAAGGAACTTAACTTTGCTGAAACACTAACCCGGTGTAAATTTGCTACTTGGCTTCTGAAAATTGTACTCTGAAACAGTATCTTTCTGAAAAGTAAAAGTTCTGTTCCTAAAACTTTCTGTATTACACAGACTAACCTTCATTAGGTAGTATTATGTCTGAAGCATTCTTTAATTTGAACTCCTCAAATTACCCATGGATATGCATGCATATGTTCCAAGTAAGTGTCATTGTTCATATATAGCTAAGCCTCAGACTCTGGTAGTGGGTAATATATGTGAATAAAAACTTGTCTGTAGTTACAAACCTACTTGATAATCAGCCCTGAATTAATGAAATACGTATTTAATACCAAGTTCTTTTTGTCTGAATTGGTGCATTAAAAGATGGGACTGATTCATAAATAAATACTGTACGAGCACTCGTCAGCTGCCCTGACCTCTAATCTGTGTCCCTGCAGTAGTTTTAAAGTTTCTGGGAGCTGCTGCTTTTGTTTTACTACACACATCATGGAATTCTCTTCTACCCTCAAGCTCCACTTCCTGCCAAAGCCATTGGCCAAAAGGAAATAGGCTATTGTTGTCAAATTTTTCTTTTTCCAAAGGATAAGGAACTAGATTTTTACTTCATCAAGGCTGGTTGCAGTGAAGTGGGAGCCTCTTTGTTTTTGGGGTGGTTTTGGGGTTTTTAATGAACATTCTGAGTTGTAATAATTAGATTCTAAACCAGTATTGATGCGTTTAACTTAGGATTCTACATTTGTTTCTGCTGTTCTTAAATCTGCTACAAGTTTATTGTTTTGCCAGAAGAGCTGGTTTTATATGCTTAGAAATAGGAAATAGGCATATATTATATTCAGTGAGCAAGGCTGGAAACCCACCCATCTCCTCTCTGGCTGCAGGGGCAGTATAACTGCTTTTCCTCTAGGACTGTAGAAATCTACACTCCCCTATTTCCTCTGACATTTTTGCACTTAAATATTATACCAGGGAAACTTTCATCAGACACTAAAGCCAGAAATAGGTCAAGCTTTTGCTTTTTCCTCTCCTTTCACTTCCACTTCCACTCAGCTTCCACTCCAATCCGTTTTGCATATAAAAATAACATAACTTTCTTTTTACCCCCACAGAATAACCTAATCTTTCAATGGTACAACAAGCTAAAAATAAAGAGAATGCCTTCTTTTTTTTTTAACAAGTTTTCTATTCTGGAAAAAAAGCATTCTGAGTAATAAGCCCTGTAAAAGATCTTGAGTCTGCTACTAACTGGCAAATCTCTCACTGTGTTTTAAATGTGCTACCATAGAGGTAAGATCTGTTACACATTTAGTATGACCACGTATTTCCAGAGAATTCCTTGTAACAAAGCAGTGCTGCAAAATAAAATATTGCCTGTGCTCATCTAGTTACTGTATCCTCTTACAATCCAGCACATTGCATTTTCATTCCTTTGCTGTAATGAGCACTGAGCGCATTCCTGCGAAGGCTGTGTCCTGTCCTGCACACTCAGTAAAGGGGTGCACCTGATCTTTCATCTGTGCAAGTTGTCCTGTTGGACAACTTTCTCTAAACTCAAAGAAGTGAACTGACGTAAGTGTTTTTAAACATTTTATTGTCACGATTGTTAACAAAACGCCTTCAAAACATCTGTACATTTCAAACTATTTTGAACTGCAATACCCATTATATAAATGTACGTGTATAGATGCCCTGATGTCTCTGTACAAAGATGTACAATATGTACAGTAACATTAAATGCAAGCTGTGCAAGGCAAAGTCTAGGCTACAGCTTCATGCCACCGGTTAAAACAAGGCATAGAACCACAGCTTCAATCAGTTCCTTGTGTGTAAATAAATAAATGCAGGGATGTATGAATATTAGAAAGGAGCAATGGGATTTGCAAGCTCAGTTCAGCTAGAACACATGCAGCTGACTGGGAAAATACAGTAGTACTCTGGGGAACGCTTTCCACCGCATCACTTCGTTAGGTTGAAACATCTTTTCAGGATTCAGCTGCTACTTTTTGCTTGAACTGAGGTGATGCCAGGAGCTCGAAACTTTGGAAGATATAACCCAAATTTATTTTCTATACCAGCAAATGTAGCTGTAGCAAGTCTATATCCACCTATATGTGCAGGGTTTACAGGAGGAAGATCTGAAATTCGAGTTTTTGGGGCAGCTTCTGATCCAGCAGGTTTGCTGTTTGAACAAAGAAAAAGAGAAAAAGCCTTTTTGTTACGAAATCTAGACTAAGAAATGACTGTAAATAAAGTTATTCAGTCCTATATACTTTAGTCTTTTGTCTGAGTATGGAAGACTGTTAAAGCTGACCTTAATTACCTCTGATGGTGAAGTCGAGGTCAGACCACTACCTAATTTTAAATCAAACCCAAAACTGAAGTTACAGTTTTACTGATAAAAACTTCCAGTGACACGAGGAAAATGGACAAAACTATCTTGCTACAATGGAAATACAAATTAGTGTATTGAAATAAATAGGAAATAACTCTTTATTTCCTCATCTGTTTAGAAGGAGCATGCAAGCTTCCCTCAATTATATAGAAGGAGGGGGGGATTTTTTACATGCTGCAATTTTAAGTACAGGTGCTCAAAGTCAACGAGTTTTAATGGGTCCCATGCATGAAAAAAAATTGGTTTTTAAACTTGGCATTTTTTTTGTGCAAGCTAAATAGCAAATACTTGACTTACAGGCCTCCAAAATCAACATAAAACCATCTCTGCAGAAGTTCATAAGTGACCAAAGTAACACCAAACTGGGGTGAAGATCTGAACACACGAGCTGTTAAATATTACAAATCATAGTGTTAAACAAATGACATAATTTCTCAGGAGAGAAGCTAAACATTTTTAACAAGGTGTTGTTTTTTCACAATCAGATCTTGTAAATACTGCTCTGATTTGAGTCCTTAACAAAGCAAGTGCTAATGTGTAGGTTTGGGGTCAGCCTTACTATGGAGAGTGCATTTCTCACCTCCGGCTCCCTTCCACAAAGCTGCAGGGCCTTCTTCCCTCAGAATCTTCCTAAAGCAGTCGATAACTCCACTGTACGTTGTCTGACCAGCGCGAGCTGCCACTTGCAGTCTTGTCTTGATGACATCAGCAGGGGTCACCAAAGAAGCAGCAGGCACACCTTTTAGGAGAAAACCACATTTAATTTGCACAAAGGATCTTGTAAAAGATGAAACACTTCTAACTGAAAAATACAACTGCAAACTTTCAGATTTTTACAAGGGTTGGTCATTACCAAAAATGCAGGTTCTTACGCTTGATGCTCAGATAAACTGTTGTGCTTGGTAGAGTTGTTTTGTGTTTCTTTTAAAGGCTATAACTGATAGGAAAGGGAATAAACTATCAACAGCAAATCTCTCAACATCTTCTAGTGGTCTGGCATTACGAGTAGTTTAAAACAAGATAAAAGAGGCTACATATGTAATATAAAAAAATCGGTTATGCAGCCTTACTGTATGTGTTAATACTCTGCAACATATTTTGCAAGTTACACAGATGATTGATTTGGGGATTGAATGCTACACATCCATTTGTTAAAGGTGCTAATGAGAGAATTACTACTAAAAACACCTATTCTACAGAAATGTCTGTACTGCTGTTTGGACTGTTCTGTAGGACAACAGATGCTGCTTACTTCAGTAGGCAAGCCATAAAAAGACTGAGGACAATGAAGGTGTTTTACAAGTCTGTTTAGTAATATATTAGCCAACAGTGATTGATGGAAGAACAAATCTCCACTTCCAAGACACCACTCTTGGCTTTCTAGTCAAAGGAAAGGAGAAGGTTTTCAGAAATGTACTTCACAGTCTGTAACTGCGTTATCTGAGGGATTTCTGAATGCTTGTGAATACTGTAAAAATTTCACCCCCTTAAAAGAGAGGAACCATCTGACTTAGAATTCTGAAATTAATTTAGACTTCTGTTGAACTTTTACAGTTGGTTAATATTGAATTAAAAAGTCACTGACTTGCATAGGTGATGATAAACTCTAAAGTGTCACTGCCCAAGTCAGGAGGTTTTCATCCAGTGGGCTTGTTCTTGGCAGTGCAGAACCTGGTGATGTCTCTCTGCATGTTTAAATATCCACCAGTCCCTACAGCTTGTATTTTTATACCCCTTGCCATTCAGTAAAAACTTATTACATCTGCATATTGTCTTAATACTAAATTTGTTTGAGAAGCCTTAAAATACTTTAAATTTGAGAGTATGATACTTCAGCTTCTTTACAAACTAATTCCATATTTTCAGCAATTACATTTGAACAAAGTTTCTTTTAGTTATTCTAGAATCCAAAACTAGGTAAGTCATTTTCTTCCGAGCTCTTATGATCTCTCATTTTATGTTCATCAAAGATTCAAATTAGCCTTCAACTCTGAGAGCTCAGTAACAAGTAAAACCCCATTGAGACAGACAGATCAAATTTGACTACAAGTTGCTGAGCTGCATTACGCTGTTTATCCACATTATGCAAATGTAATTAGCTCTCATCAAAATTACATCGCCTCCCACTAAGGATAACAGTGATCAAATTTAGATTAAATCACATACAATGGTACAGTAGCCTTCTTTATATGGGGCTACTGAATGAATATTAAATGTTTCTCACTAAAGAATAAAAAAATTACTTTTAGAAAACATTCTGCAAAATTACCTGCAATGGCTCCAGCTGCAAGGAGATTAAGCCCTCCCACATGGCCACTTTCATCAGCAAACATCAGTTTACTATGAGCATAAACCGGAAAGTAGATTGCAGAAAAGGGAATGTCTCTGAGGAAACACGCTTTGGCACCCTGACACAGAGAAAAGAAACATAATGCAAGTAAGTTCTGTAGATAAGGCTAAAATTCATATCCAGCAAGCAGCCCGAACCCAGAAAGTACAAACTCTTTTTATCTGCCACATAAATAACACAGAAAATAAAATGTCTCAGGAAACAGAAGATACAGGGAATTTAAAAATAAGAATAAAGTACATCTAAAGTAATTGGGTGGAATGAAGAAGATTCAAGGTTCATGTCCAATTTTGGTAAGCCATACGTGACATCAATCCTGACATCAGTACCCAGGATAAATACTTTTTACACATTATGTGTCCAAAGGCAATGAAGTGACAAAGATCAGTCCCTTACGTCTTGCTGACAACAACCCACAGCCAGGGGAGCAGCAAGACAAGTCCCTGCAGCCCATTCTTTCCATCAGACACAAAAGCACTACTAAAATACCAGCGAGGACTGTAAGACCTCACACTGGTCATCATCTGATTGACCAAAGAAGCTGCACTGGAAAGGTAACAAAAAGAAAAAACGCTGTGAAATGGGCACAGTTTAGTAAGGAAATGCAGTGGTCATGAATCTCATCTACTGAATTCAAAACAAAACCCTTCAGCTCTGAAAGTAAATGTGCACATTTTTATAGTATTATTGCAGGTCTATGGACAAATCACAAAAAGCAATGTTTTGTAAGTGCACAGCTAATATTACTGCTGAATTTACGTATTACCCCTTGCACTGGCAGAAGATACAGGAAGAAACACTCTTCCTTGTTTAAGAAAACTAATAGCTTCTGCTCCATTACATCTGATCTGTAATGATGGCAGTAAGTACACCTGCAGGGAAGGAATCTGTTGACTGGCATTCTGCTGAAGTATCGTTACAGTCTGGGCTTTTTTCAGTGGAATTTATTGACAAATCCCACCACTTAACTTCTTAAAAATCTGAATCCTACTAAACTCCACTACTGTTTCACTGCCATCAAATTATTAAGACAAAGAGAATATCCTGCTGCAAAGATAACAATAGAGATAACAGAGATTCAAAATAAATGTAAGAAAAACACATGGGAAAAGCTAAAGAAACTTTTCAAAAAACCCCACCAAAGGAAATGATCAGTGCCAGGAGCCAGCAGGTCTGCAATACAGGACTCCCTGGAGCTTGGCATAAAAGCCCAAAGGATAGAATGGGGGAGTATTTTTTTGTATCCTACTGCCATTAATATAGAAGTGAGTTTCTTCAGTTTTCCACTGTGGGGCTGCCCTGCAGGAAGAGATTGGTTTTAAATTCAAAAGACGTCTTTGTTTTTAACAGTTTTTGTTTCAACAATGCAAAAGTTTAGCATAAAATGATGGAGCCACTCCAAGCAGAAGCACGTACCTTATAAAGACCAAGAAAGCCCAGATCTTTTATAACAGAGAGGGCACTGACTCTGGGTCCTGTAGTAATTTCTCCTGCTACCTGCAACCGAATCTTTACAATTTCCAGAGGATTAGTGAAGATGACCTGGGAAGCTCCTGCCTGCAAACCCAAAGAAAAAGAAAGTAAATTGCGTTACAAGAGCATGTGATGACGTACTGACTGTTGCAAGGTGCTGAGGGCCTTCACTTCTCACTGCATTGGCTGATATTCTCATGAAAAATATATGAGAGATATTTAATAAAGCACCTGTGTGGAAGTTAAAAGCCCCAGGTCAGAAATCGTGTGTTTGTACAAAATAAATTTTTACATTTATATGTCTGTAGTTCACAGAGGTGGATTAATTCAGTTTCTCTCTTCTCCTTGACATCATTTTCTAGAAGTCGTGGCTCTGTTTAAAAATCTATCAGATATTACAGGAAATACTAAACTAAAATAATCATTAGACTTGTGCTACTAGAGCATCAAACACACATAAAGGAGACCTTATGTTTATTCAATAATAATCCATCACCAATGTGTAGACATGTTATTTGCATTTAAAAGTGATACTGTTTAAAAGGTAAATTTGCATGTAATGGTGTAATTTTAAATTATTAGAAAAGGTGTTTGGAGTTTTGTTTAGCAGTCTTTAATTGTCCTAAGTGGAAACAAAATATAAAATTTAAATAGGAAGAATAACATTGCAGAATAGATAGAAAGAGAAGCCATATCTTTGAGCTGAGCATGACAGATTTTACTTGCAGGAAATACTCGTTAGCATCACTGAAGGTCTTGCAAACTTCCTGGTAATAGTGTTGAAAAGCTGCTTCTGATTCTGCACTTTAACCAAAGACTTTCAAAGAACTGCGTTTCAAGTTTGAGAGGGATTCGATCTGACAGTTCAGTTTCAGAGACATGTAAACCTATTTAAAATGACATGTTTAGATTTCTCCCTGGTTTGCTGTAGGTACTACCATTCACTTCTGAAGAAGTGTGTGGTTCATCACAAAACAGCTACATGTCACTAAGCTTCCCCCCCCCTTCTCCCTAAGCCACTTCCTTAAAATTTCTGGCATATAACCACTTGAACACAGCCTACTTTGAAAAGCATTTCTTCCACAATATAAAAGCTAATCTTAATTCTGATCTATCCCTCCAATCCATCAGATTTCAATAAAGTAAATAAATGCACACCATCTACAATTAAAACTTTTTACCACTTCCAAATTGCCCAGGAGATAAACCATTCTTGCAGTGGGGGGATGTGTGTGCATGCAGGGGTGTGGTGAAGTAAAATCAATGGTTTGATTCTCCAGGCCAGCATGCCCAGTGCTCTCTGCTAACTGATTGAGAACTGATGAACACTAATCCTTCCTGCCTTAGCACCATCTTCCTCTCTCCAGCAGCAGGCAGAATAAACTTGAGATTAGCCCTGATGCACAGTTTAAAAGTTGGTAACCTGAATTTTTCTAGACTGAAGAGCATTGCAAACCTCATCAGCTCTTGCTAGGAATGACCAAGTCCTTCAGAACTATCAACAGGATGGGGGCAGGAAGCATCAACATCTCCTCTGGCCACGTGTCCAGTACATCCCTGAGCTGTTCCTGAGCCCACTGAGCCCCATTTATTACTCCACTCAATACTGGCACCATTACAGCCTTACTGAGGCACCTTGACTTAAACAGTGGGAGATCAACCCCTGCTTTTATTAATCATCTCCACTGTAGCAGTAACTGCCTTTGACACTTTCCACTCAAATTATCGGTATATATTGTTGATTTTAATTTTATTCCTTCACTTCACCTCTCAGAAAGAAAATCAAAGCCTGTGTTTTTGTGGATATTTACTGCAGCCATCAGGAAGATCACTAGAACTCCCAGACCAGCCAAAACGATTCCCATCTTCTCTGTTCCTTGGACTTACTGCACGGTGTTAACTCAGTTATGTGACAGCACTCATGTCCAAAGGCATTCTGCAGCCTATCTTTGCTTCTCATCTCACCTTTTCCTTCCCAGCTCACACACACTCACACGTGCAAGACGAGAGGGCTGTCTTGCTAAACAAAGTTCCAATCTAAGTACAATTTATAAAATTTGCATCTGGCAAGTTCTGTTAAAAAACCTTTTTTGTTTGTTTGTTTGTATTGCATTAAGCAGAAAACCAATTTCAAATGTCTAGCATTTCCCTACATCATTTTAAAAAATAATTTTGGTAGATAAAACGTTAAGCAGCGTGTTCTGACTATACAATACAATGGGCCACACAAAAAAAATTCAAATCACTTTAAATTGCAACACTAGGCTAGAAATTCACTCTTTCTAGACAATTACCAGCACCTGCCTATTAAATATGCATTGTTTGTTTATATATATATGTGTGAAATTCCATTTTTCATTTTTAATGTTAAAAATTAGAACATCCTGCAGAGCAGCCAAAATAACTTTTCCTATTTGCCTAACACCCACAATAGAAACACAAATAGGCCAATTTGTAAACGTTTCTATTTTCTATCCTGAATTCAATCTTCCAGCAATTAACATTTTCCTCTCCTAGGTGCACAGCTGCCTACCTTTCTGTCAAAATCAGCAACAGCCCTCTTCCGATACAGAAAGGAAAAGAGAAGACTCTTACCACATTTTAATAATTTAGCAGCAACACTAATTATATATACAACGTTACAAATTCTATATAATACAGAATTATGTATTTCAACAATAGTAAAATATTATTTGATTATTGGGTTATTGAGCAAAACAAAATATAAGGAAACCCCTATGCTTATATTAGCAGTAGAAAATCAATTGAAAAGCTCTTTAATTACATCAACACTTTGAACATTGAGTATTTACAGTGTTGACAAACTTCTCAACAGGCAGCTTTCTCAAAAGGAGCTGTAACTGTCTAGATACCCAGTTAAATGCATGTGCTTCTAACCGAGTCTTGACTTATCATATCGCTGTACTTGGAGCTCAGCACACCTTTGTGCACAGCAGTGATTTGATTCCCATGACGAGGAGCGCTGCGTTCAGGGGAGTTGCACGAATGAGTTGGGTCCTTCAACATCACAAGTACAGATAAGAGAAGCACTGACTTTAATGCAGAACATACAACACAAGAAAACTCACTTTTTCACTGTGTATTTTTTAAAGAATGTATGCAAGGGTTGCTTTTTGTTAGTTTGTGATTTCTTTTTGAGTAAAAGGTGGACTGCATATCTGACAAAGAACGTGTGAGGCGGAGGAGATGCTGCCTTGGGGAGCAGAATAGGATGCAGAGGAGAGTGACACAAAGCATCTCCAAATAAAAATGAACTGGAAGCATGCAGGGTTGCAACACAAATCTCCATGCTCCTGTACAAATCACTGGCAATCAGTGTCACTCTTTTTCAAAGTATCTTACTTCAGCTGTCAGCTGTGTATGTTAAATACATGTGCACGTGTACATTCCCACAGAGGTATACATTGCACTCCTTGAATTTCTTTTGGAGATGGTGCACTAAATCTAGATTCCCCCCCTCACAAAAATCTCCCTTCACACATAAATTGCAACAGACACTTTAAAAAAGGTTGACAAATTTGTTTCAGAATGGAGGTTATTCATACACATCAAAAATACCAGTAATAAAAGCTTCTACTTAACCTTAATGTCATGTAAAATAACTCTACAAGGAGCAAATGAAGGAACTGAATCTGACAGCAAAGGTTATGAAAGAAGAGATGTAGTTTGAGATCCCACAGCAAACGCCCCATGACATGCCAAAGGCTGAAGGAAATACACAAATGACCCTGCAACATGAGACCTCTTGCCCTTTCCAATTCCACCCCAGAGGCATATGCTACAAAGGGGGAGAGGCCTATTTCAAGCCCTTCCTTCCTTCCTTCCTTTTTGAAACCACCACATCCTGGACCACAGCTATGTCCCATACAAGCAGCTGAAATAAGATGTTACTTACACCAGACTTGTTTAAACACAACAAAAAAACCTTTGCACTTCTTTCTCAAGGCAAAGCTGTCATTGTTCATGAACATACAGAAAGTTTACTGTCTCTTTTATTAAAAACAACCATTTTCTCCCGGATTTTAAATGTCCACAACAGAGATCAAGATAAAGTAGTAAAGTTTAATTCTGCTTCTAACTTGATCTGTTTAAAGTATAATAAAAGAAGCAAAATATCTTCAGGATTCTGAAGGAAAAACAGCCTGACAGCTATAATTCTATATTTTTGTTTTCATTGAACAAAACCATTAGCATTTTAAATTATTTTTTCAAAAATAAATATTTGACACATTCCTATTTGCTTGATAAAGCCATATGCATGCTTGTTTGTATGTATGTATATATTAATAAATATGTATGAAAATTATTTTTCCAAGTATACCAAAATATTTATACTAAATTACAGATTTAATGTTTACAGAACTTTTCAAATCAGTGGTGAATTTGGACCTCTCTGCGTATGTATGTGCAAACACACACACATCCCAACCCCTAATTATCAACAGATGCATTGCCTACACCTCAGTGAGAGTTCCTAGACCCTTTCTGCCTGGCACTCCACATCCTCTTCCTCCCTGCAGCATAAAGCAGAAACATCTTCCTGATGCAACACGGTTCATCCACTTGAAATGCTAAGCAGCATGCACACTGCAATGGTGGGAGGAATCAATCCATTTCTTCCTGTGTAACTCATAGGAATTACAGCCTAAAATCAGAGTACCTCTGTCTCCTGTAACAGGAATTATGAATCATTTACTCAGCACTGGATGTCTGCTGCCCGACAGCCCCTTGCCCTCACCACGTACTCCCATGTGTCGTGTGTGAGCTCCTTTGGGAAGCACTGCCCATATCAGGTGTGCACTCTCTGCTTCCCAGGCCTCTGTCAGCACAGAGGGAAGCATTGCCAAAGCCTCGCTCAGTCTCCCTGCAACTCAAAGGTACCAGTAACTGAAAACTCCAAAGGCAGGAATGCAGGTTAATCATTGAATTGTAATGAAATGTAATTCAATTAATTGCAGTAGCAGGAGGGAAAGAAACTGTTTGCTCAGAACATGCATAAATGTGGACAGTGCCATTGACGATTAACAAACCAGCATCCTCTCAGGAAGGTAGGAGATGGGATATTGGTTTCATCCATCAGGGACCAGAGCCCTTTCATTGACAAGTATGACCTGACTGCTGCCCCACGTAGCTGCTCGGCAGTTTTCAAACACAGCAACAGCTTGAGAGCAGCTGGGAATATTTGGGCTCTGACAGAGCAGACCCTACACTTCCCAGTGACATTTACACTGCCCAGCAGCCATCAGGTAGGTTTAAAGGAGCACAGGGCACGGGCTGCCTGTGGGAGGTCCCTGCCCTGCAGTAAGGAAGGAAAGACAACAGACAGGCAGCTGACCGTATAAACAGGCCACTGCCTGGGAAGGTGTCTTCGCCAACTGCTGTGAGAATGAAGACGTTTCCTCCAAATGAGAATGGGAGTTTATTCCACAAGCTTACAGAAGCTGAGAATAACTGGAGCCTGAGAAGGAAGATTTTGGCCAAAGAGATACAGTCTGTGGGCATCAGCATTGCTGGATGAGGCCCACGCCTGTGAGCAGCCCTTTGCTGGACGGTCCAACACTGCCTGCACTCACTGCAGAGCTCATACTGAACAGCCCAGGCAAGGTCTCTTGAATCACTACTGTCTTAATGTCCAAGGTTTCGCCTGTCCTCATGTGTGGGTCTCAGAAGCCTCTAACAGCATTCATCAGCTTTGAAACAGCACTGCCATCCAGAGAGGAGAAAACTGTTATTTTTATGGTTGCCGTTTGAGGACTCTGGTATGCACAGTGTGCTTTTGGACACCTTGCAAGAGGAAGACTTCAAAAGCATGGAAGGCCTCTGCTGTAAACTCTGTAAAATGGCTGCAAATGCACCTTGCTCATCTGGCTCATCCACTAGCGGTTCCATACTAGAAATGATGAAACACTGCATTATTGCTGTTAATGAGGAGATGGTTCAACACTAAACACAGGCAACTGACAGTCAGAGACAGTAATAAAGTCCATCTCTGAGGACTACATACAGGTATAATGTTATTTCTTCTGATGTTATGACATGGTAAAAAGTACATTTTAAATTTAGCCTATATTTATAGTGCACTATTAGCAAGACATTTAACTGTTGGACAGTAAAGAAAAGCCACAAAATACCAAGTTACCCAAATCCAGAAGCTGAAAATAATTTTGGTACATATAAACAAACCCCAAACAATCCCATAGTAACCCATAATTTTGAACTAACAAAGAGAGAAGGAAGAGAATAAAGGGAGAATTAAAAAGAAAGGCAGCATCACCCAAACACAAAGCACACAGCCTTGTGTGCCCTGCACAAGGAGATGGACTAAGCTTACTTGTGGCACTTCCCTGGATGGAACTGTTGGTTACATCCCATAATATTTTGTAGAAAAACAGTACACAATGAATACCAAAAGTACAAAGATCAACACCATTTCAGAGTAAGTCAGCATAGGAAAGAGCTGTCACAATGAGGATGAAAAGGTCTGAGGATAAAAAAAGGAAAGACTAAGATCAACTTGATCCTGCTTCAGTGAACTGATACTTTGAGAGTCCCAACTGTATAGGCTCCAGGAAAGATTCTGGTATTTAGGAAGAACTGGAATTGCTAAAATCTAACTAAGTAGCAGTACAGACAGATTATCAGATGGTAAGATTATCAGATGACCCAGAGGAAGCTACAAAGGAACACCCCCCAGGCTGCTAAACTGTGGCCAACACCTCTCCTACAATTTTGTTTAAAATTTTCCTAGATTGAGTGAGATGAATATTATCTTGAAAAAGGAGATGAGAATATCAGCTAAGACTGTCAGCTAGAACAAAGTGTTGTGTTTGGACAGATTACAAATCTGCTCAGCTTCACAGAAACATCCAAATTTCTGAAAGCTTACCTGAAACTCAGTTTCTCCCCAGTGCAGTCAGACAATGAAGTTACTTTGAAAAAGGAGTACCTACCATGAAGTGGAAAAGCTTCTAATGTAGATTGAATTTAATATTATATATTTCAATACAAAATAATGTAAAATAGTAAAATTATCTGATGTTTGGTTTTAATTACAAATTTAAACACATCACAAGAAAAACTCTAATGAATTATATTCACTTCTGTTATAAATGACCTGTATGTGCTTTCTCTGCTACTGAGCTTTCTAGAAAAAGGTTAGTCTTCTGCTAGCTACACAATATAGCTGCTTTCTCACATTTCTCAGAAAATAAACTTTGTACACTGACAGGTGAAGACTCAACCATGTACCAAGCTGTCAAATTCAATCAGGCAGAACTATAAGCAGCCTCCCTTCAGGGCTGTTTCTTTGAATTAAAAGTTTGCAGAGGTCAACAACCTTTCTGCCCCAGGTTTTGTTGTAAGCTGAGGAGGTTTTATACCAGCCTGTCAGCCTACTCAACTGGAAGTTATTAGTGTTCTCTACTACAAAAGAAACCTATCTCAAGCCTTAAACATTTTATAGGGTTAAGAACTGCAGGAGAATCCCACAAATTAAATTAGCCAATGTGCAAAACCAAAAGAAATCTATCATCAATATCAATTCAAACCACTTACAGATTGCTAAAACATCCACTGAATTTTAACCCTCAATCTAAACTACAACACAGCATGTTTTCAACTGTATTTAGAAGAGGGATGTAATTAGCATCTGGAGTAACACAGCTACATTTTATACAAAGTCATTTAAATGGACAATTCATTCATACCTGCTACCTGGAAGGTAAGGCTACATCATTCATTTTTTCCACATTTTCACAAAGAGAAAAAAAATTCACATATAGGAAGTTGAAGAGTGTATTTCTTTTCCTTCTTAAAATCTTCAGCAAGAAAAAGATTTCTTTAAAACCATTCTAGCCACCTCCACCCCTGCCCCCAAAGGAAAACTCAATCATGTCTATTATCCATTCTCAAGGAATACCTGTATCTTCCCCAACAAACGACGAACAGCAACCAAGCAGAGCGTATGGAAAGGGAGAACAGGCACCCTCTGTTTAGCCTTTGGGAATAAAACCACTGCTGAAACTGAAAGTTCCATACTGGGCCAAAAGAAGTTGTTTGAGCATGTAATGCCAAGGAAACTTAGCTCAGAAGTATGTAAAGCTTTCCAAACAGAAAAAGTATTTGTTTTAGTTCTTGTGACTGGGAGAAAAATGAACACTCCTGTTCAAACTGCTAAAGCACACCCATTAACTGTCATTCCAACTATTCTGCACGTGACTGAGAATCAATTTTTCCTAGGAATACAGGATGGATACTTACACAGCCTCCAGCAAGGACCTCTGCAGGGAGTGGAATGGAACCATCTTTTGTAGTAAATTTGTCTCTGACAAAGTCATTAACCTAATAAAGATACAATATATTACACACTCTTTTAAGTTATTTTTCCTCCTTATTAATATATATCAAGTACATCTGTAGCCATATATATTAGAGTGCTTGTAAGTGGTCATCTTTCACACATTTTAGGAAACAAATCCTGTGCATGTTAACAAACAAAAGGATGCCAGGGAGAGAAAAAAAAAAAAAGATACGTACAGTTAGCTTAATAGCCTTTTCTGGAGCAACACCTATCAGCTGTGGTAACAAGCCTATAGAAACAAAGACATCATAAGGCAACATTATCTTCCTAATAGAGAAATTTGTATTTTATAAGTGCTGTACAGAAATGCCTTTCTGCACAGGGGATATCCTTTGAGGTGGATGGCATTTAAGTATAGGGTGCTGCTAGAGCACTGCATATTCATACCAGTACAATTTTATATATTACAACTTCTGTTGAAAATGATAAAGAAAAGGGTGACCAGATCTGCCTTCCTCAACTAAGTCAAGCCTGCTACTGTTGCTGTACAGAAGGAAAAAAAAGTGTAAAGACCAAACACACACCTTGGATATGCCTACTACAGAAAAGTTTGTTTGACTTTTTTAGCCCCTTAACATCATTTTCCCATGTAAAGGCTTGCAATGACTTTTTAAAATAGGAGAGTAATTGTGAGATATACACATAACTGTGATAAATTATCAAATCACTTCTACTTGACTCACTAACCTGAGTTTTCTGAAGGCTCCAGTCAACTAAGGATAGGAAGGATTTTCCCCTTTCAGTTCAACATGGTAACATGAACTCCTTTAAACCCTATTCATATTAAGCATTTTTTATCTCACTAAGAGGAAGTATTAGCGGATAGAAACTGATTTTGAAAAGGCCCTTGCTCCTGGAAAATAGCTACTATCAAAATGAAATGTCATTTGACAAAAGCACAGACTCTTTTCTAAGAACTAATAGGTTTAAGAAAAAAATCAGTAGATGGCAGTCTTAACTTCCTAACATACCACATTATAACTACATCTGCTATTTTTAAATCCATTTTCTCCACGGTCATTTTGGCATATGCATAGACCATAAAACTCAAAAGGCTTATTTTTATTAGATGTGGTCACTTCCTTATGTTATTCCATAATTATGGAATATCATTTTGTCAAAAGCGTTTGGCAGTTAACTAATAAAAAATCCCACAGGAACAAAACTGTCTCAATGCTTTCCACTATTTGTTAAGTAAAAAGAATCATAGCTAAAAATTAACTTTAAATGTTCAAAATTCTCAAAGTAGTCAGCCTGCAGAATTGTTATACTACTTTCTTAAAAGGAAGCTCAGAACAAATGTACCTAAATAGAGAGTGCAGTAGTTAATGTATGCAGTGTAGTGCTTTCTTCCAAAGTAGCACTTTCTGTGTGATTTACAGACTTTCTATGCTGAGGAAAGGTAGTTATTAAATACAAAGAAAGGCTGACAATAATGAAAAGAAATGGTGCCCTCCCAGCCTGAATTTCTTATCTACCATGAAGAGACAACCCAGTTCAGCAATGCCTACACTTAAAAACCCAAAACTACCAGACAAAAACCTACAAGACAATCCCGCCCGCTTTTCACGCTGAATTCATTGGGCACACACATGTGGCGTGCCAGAGAACCTGGGACATGCATGCTCTAGTGAGAGACCTTAGAAGATACTTCATTAGTTCTGAAGTTGGATGCCAGGACTCAAAAGCATCTTAATTTTCTTGACCAAAAATTATAAGTTTTTTAGAATTACAATATTTTCAGTATGCATTGAGATCTATCTTTTACACTGCAGCAAACAACTACATTGCAGTATTACATTACAGTATATATATATTGTTATATTACAGTACAGTTAGGATAATGCAGCTCAGGAATGTAAGAACCATAAATGTTTCTGCTGTTTAATATACTTCCACAGACTATCTAATTCTATGCATCCACAATCTTAGTAACATGCTGACCATTAACTGCAAGATTTTCTAAACTGCATGAACTTTTTACACTAAACAATCTTAAAGACAATTACTAAACAGCCTACTAAAAACTTTAGCAAACTGACGTTCTTTCAAACAAGTACATTTTTTCTTAAGTGTAAAGCACTGCTTTTAACTGATCAATGGAACTATCATTAGTTCTAAAGTGTTTGAGAAAGGTTACAAAACCAAATTAAAAACAATTAATGATCAGTTTTAGATGCTCCTGTGCAAAAATGAAGCTGGGGGGCAAGAGAAAGCAATCAGTGCTGTAGAACAGCACTATAGAAACAGTCTCATAGATGTAACCCAAGGACTATCTGCTTTTGTGAATGATTTAGCAACAAAAAAGGAAAATGATTTACCAGTAAGATGTAATTTACAGAGACTAGAGATATTTCATTAACACTTCACCAATTTATTCCTCCCTTTACTCACTTGCATAGCAAAATCCTGCAAGACTACAAAACACTCTTTAGCCAGAACCCACAGACCTTCCACACGTATGTAGATACTGTCCTATACAAAGCAAAATGCTGTGACCATCACAGAAGTCAGTGACTTTGCTCCAACTCAAAAAACAGGTGTGCCAATTAATAAACACCTTACTGACTCTTATGAAAATTGTAAACTTCATTAAGTTATGTGACATTACAATTAAAAATAGAGAATTCAATCAAACATCAGTTTCAGAGAACTGGCAAGCATGTACTCTGTATGTTAGTCACCTTACCAATGTGATAAAAACTCTTTCAGAATCTTCTAAGCTAAAACAAGATATTAAATAACTTTCAGTCTAACTGATAAGGAATTGAATTCTTAACCTGTATTTTAGAGTTGTATTCTTTTTTTAAATTACAATTTTCTGAGTTCCACTGTTGATATTTTAAAGTAAAATAGAGCAAAATGATTCAACAGCAGGATGCAATTTTCATTCACAGGATAAAATCCTAAAACAAGTCCCACTACCTGCAAAAGTATGAGGAATAAGTTTACACGTACATTTCAAAATGACTGTCTTTTGTCTCTTAAGAAACAAATATGTGCATTAAAATGGATCTTTATTCCTCACACAGTAATCTGCTCCCAATGTTTGACTCGAGCCAAAAGTTGCAATCCTCAGTTTTTGAGGTAACAGTCATGTCCACAACACTTACACCCCAAAAATTAGGACTTTAAACAACTTAAACAGCAAGGAGCAAGTCAGTAACAACAACAAAACAATGCCCAGTTTTTCCCAGCAATTGTTTGTGATGAAGGGTGCTCAATGGAAGATGAATATTGAGCTCTGAAATGAAAGCAAAACTGTACATGAAATCAAGCATCCTGATTTTCCCATAGGAAACTAGCTGTTGAGGTATTGAAAAAAAGGGAGGGGGGACAGAAAATTACCAAATTGATGTATATACATCTTTTTATTATTCACTTACCTCTGTAAAGACCAAAAAAGCCTTCAAAACGCAAAACCTTTTTAAAGCAGTCAAAGCTGTTTTTATACATCAACTCTCCTACGACTGAACCCGTGGAGCGCTGATTCTGCATACGAGTTTTCACCAGGTCTATGGGATACACTGCAGTAGCACCAACAGCTGTAAGAGAGCATTTGGAGTATTATTTCTGCAACATCGTTGTTGGTGTAGCATGTAATTACTGTGATGATTTTCTACAGCATTTATTTAAACACAAAGAATACATAAGCTGGTAAGATTTGTTGGAAGCAAGAAAGAACAATACTGAAGGTCTAGAAAAACAGTCTCAAGGAGAATGCATTGCACTATTAAATAAAATCAGTGTGTAGAATGAAGAAAACCAATCTCAATTACCAGTAAGGAAATATGTTACTGGAGTAGAATTTCAAAGGACTGTGGAGGGATTCTAGAACCCAGGTGAAAAGGAAAGAAAGGGAATAGCGCAATCAAAACAGTTCCATCATCCAATTCTTCACATGTACAACCAAGAAATGCACCTCAGATGAGATCAAATAGTCTGGTGAAAGTGTTAAACTAACCCAAGCTTGAAAACAGAAAGTAGAAATATTACTCACCCCCAGCAATTGAGCCCAAAGTGAACCTGTAAGCTGACTCAGCTGCCTGGAGCCAAATAGGTCTGCCTACTTGTCCAAAAGATTGCTGTGTGAAGGGAAAAAAAACAAACTTGAAAATCTGCATGGGAAAACAAAGACATCTGTGAATTGGCTTTTATAATGTTACAGAAAGAACCTGATAAAAATTGGTAGCTTTATGTCAAGGAGGAAGTAAAAAAAAAAAATTACTATATAATGTCTATTACACCTAATGAATGAACCACGTTTTTCAAATACTCCTTTTAAAAAATATTCTTCCTTTCATATTTGGTTGTGCCAAATCCAGCACACTAGTATAACTGAAACAACTATGGTCAAGAAAAAGAGACAGAAACTCAAAACAACTTTGCTATTTTCCATTCTGTTGCTGTTGAATTTGTAAGCCACGGAACCCCCTTTTGACTCAAAATATCTCAAAAGAAATTCATTATTTCACAGACAGGGTCTATCAGCACAGGACATATTTTAGATTACATATATATTAATGCATAGCATAAACATGACATTTCACATTTTCAAAAGAAGCAGAAAGTCAATTATTCCCCAAAGAAACCTCCACAAGACTTTTTCAGACCTCACTCATTTCAATGACATGTACTACCATAAATGTGTTATTGTTCTAAATAAATACAAGTCTGCACAGAAAGGATCTGCAGAGACTCATAATCATATTATTAGATGGCTGTTAGAAACAAGGTAACTGAGAAACAAGATGTAAGTGTTCACAAACTTGTACTATAAAGCAAGACGGGCCAGATTTTCTTCCAACCATACAGAAGATGATTATTTATATTACGCAGAATAACTTGTCTGGGCCACATAAGGGGCCAAGGTATGAACTGTTAAATTCCATATTAAAGCAGATACCCAAACACAAGCCTGTTTTTCTTAAAAGTACCCTGTATTGTTAGCAGATGTGCTCCTGACAGCACAGCTGGAATGCCTACAGACCCCAGACTGCCACCGGAGGCTTTGCTCTGAGGCCTATTAGGAATTGTTCCCAAGGATTATCACAGGCACACTTCCCAGCTAACCCATAAGGGTACTGATCTAAGGTACATTCAGCTCTCTGAAGCTCTGACAAGTGAAATACCCACTGCAGACAACACGGACCTCAGTGCACGCTGCTCTCTTGGGAGTGGTGTTACACTGGGTGGGCAAAAACCTGCCTGTACTGCAGAAGTTTGCACTGTACATACACAGTGTGGGACAAAAGCCTGGGAGATCAAGATGAGATCATTATCTGTAAAAACCCCATGAATTGTATTTGATACATTTTTTCCACAGAAAAAAGATACAGCTAAAATCCCTTCCCTCCACAAGGCATTTTCCTCCCCCACAATACAGCTACACAGAGCAGAATAGTGAAATTCTAGGTAGCACCAAAATTGCACTCTGCACATGCAGACCAGCATAAAAAAAGCATAAATCAAATGTACTGCTCTTACAAGCAAATAGAAGCAATAAATTTGAAGAGTATCTTCAATACTTCAAAACCACTATAATTTCCTTTAAAAAAAAAAACAAACAAAGGATAATATAAACAAAACCATAAAAATAAATTATAAAATATAGATACAAACCTTTTGATTCATGTAAATGAAAGGCACATGCAATAATATACCTCAAAAAGCCTTAGATGCAGAACTAGTTCTTCCACAAAAATTTTCTCCTAGTTTAGCACACCTGCTGCCTTTCAGCTGTTTTAAGATTATTCTTTTTTTTCTAAGCCTCACACGGCTCTCATCAAAATCTAATCATTGCATTTAGACATTAATCTTAATGAATACATCACTGAATGTTAAAAATCAAATTCTTTCTGAAGGAAATGTCACTTTTATATTATTAAATAAGTGTTCACAAAGTTTTCAGTTTACTTGTGTGTTCAGATGGATATGTAAATGAATGTAATTAATGCTATAGCTTTCAAATCATGAATATTTATAAACAGAAAATTACTGTAGCTGTCATCCCCATAGGATATTCAGCTGCTAGGCTTTAAAAAAATCTTACACAATGAAAAAAACTGACAATAAAGTAAACATGGTTGAAAGCAGGCTAATTTTCATTTCTACCAAATCTATATAGAGTGATTTTATGTAAAAATTTAGATTTTCTTTACAAAGGAATTTTTAAATCACATAAAAGTGATTACAGAATTGGTTTCATTTTCCAGGGACAGCTGGACCTAAGTGGGATGATATTTGCTCTTCATGAAGGAATATCTTTCATTTTGTCAATACAGTTAAATAAGTTAATACAGGGTTCACTTAGGATAAGGTTTAATAAAAGATTGTTCCTTATAAATCAAAGAAAATGGAATTACTTTGCTTTCTGCTGTCTGGTCTTAACACAGAATGTAGAGTGAGATGAAAATACAATGTATTACTTCAAGATTGTGAAAAGAGTATATTTTTTTTCTAGTGATGAGTGAAACTTTTATCTGTGAATTCATTTTATAACAGTGCCAAGCTATAAAGGTAATTCTGAAATGTAAAATAAATCAAGCCTTTCTACTCAGGAAGGTGAGTAAAAGGACACTGACTAAAACCAAAGTTGTCAGTTAGGAATGTTGTTACAAAACTTCATCAAAAATATTTCTTATTAGCCTGGATAAACGTTGAATACACATTTCTGGGTCAATCCACTCCATCATTCTTGTCTCCAGGAATCCATAGGAAGACAGTTAGCACTAAGAAGGTTTGGGACACTTATTGGCTCAGATATGTCTAATCACCAAAGGACAACAAAGGACAGCTGAGCAGTAACATTAAGAACAGACCAGACACTGTGTTTCAGACCAAATTGTTTGAAAGAGAACTAAATTATCAAATTCAGCTCTAATAACAGTAACTAAAATACAATCAAAATCCTATATATGAAAGACTTGATACATTCTGTACAGGACTATTTTTCAACCATGTCAGTTGAACTAATTCAAGATTTTCCTGTCACTGGTACATATCCTAGATCTTGTAGTGGATGTAACTAAAAGGAACCTCTCCGCAATAGCTGAGAAAGAAAAGACTTTATAAATGCAAGCTTTCGTTTTCAGACAGACTCCTGGGACCCCTCATCTACTGGCAAACACATGACATTGATGTAGCAAAAAAGGCCACAGTGGTGGTCACTGTGCTGCCACTTTATCTCAGACCACCTGCAGCAGTACTGTCAATGGCATCACCAGGGTAGGGAATCTGAATTTCACTTTATGAGAGACAGCATGGCTTGGAATGGCTGACAAAGGCACTGCTGCCAGCTGCGTGTCCTCCTGCCCCAACAGCCCAGGCGGCTGAGCTACTTGGGAATCGGTTGCTGAATCACTGTAATTCAGGAGCAGCATTTTAACACAACCCATCACCAATGTCACAAATGCTGAGCTGCAAGATGTGACTGTTCAGCATTTCTAAGAAGCTCAGCTATCTATGTGCCAGTGAGGAATGGCCAGGGAGCAGAATCCAGCCCAAGCCAGCCTATACCCACTTGGGAATCAGAGCCCTTGGATGTCTTCATAGGCATTCCATGAACTCTTAACACAGACTCAGAGTGACTTGTACATTGGAAGAAATTGGGAACAACCTAGTTTAGACATTGGAAGAAATTTGGAACCTTCAAATATAATATAATAAACCTTCAAAATTAATATAATAAAAAAATATATTTATCTACTGAGTACACAAAGATGTACTTAGTCAGCACTATGCCATATGATCATATGAGATATGAAGACCTAGATAGCCTCCTTCCCTTTCTGTACTACTGGGGGAAAAGGGATGTGGAGACATCCTTGCAAAATGCACCAGCTCAGATGAACACTACTGTCTTTTCTTGATCGAGAACATGCAGCTCAGTGTGGAATTGCAATTCCTCATGAAGTTCTAACAGCAAAAAATAAATCAGAGATTGCGCATCAGAAACTTTGAAGATCGGATCCTATTTTTTGTTATGCATAATAACCACTAACGTGCAACTGGCCTATGTATATTATGATTATGCAGCCAGGTAATCCAACATGTATGTATGTCTTCCATTCTGAACCTGATGTGTAATCGTGTCAAGGATTTTTTTGAGTGTATTATTATCTCTACACTATTAACAGTTATATTCCCCTGATTTACTCCTGTGAGAGCAGTGTCCTGTAAAATGCTTCAGAAAAATTATTTCCTTAAAATGTATCTTGAATGGAATGGAATAGAACAGAATATTTCTATTAGCAGGACAGCAGATACCCCATTATGGTGAGAGCTTCAAAAGCATCAGTACTCCAGATCCAAGGTTAAGGTAAAATTTAATCCACCACCTAACTACTATTAGACAAATCTGCTTGCAAGAGAAAACCTCTCAGACAGTTGGACAAAAAAATACAGTGAAGGTAAGCCCCCAAATCTAGATCTATTTTTAATGCAACTTGAAAGCTATACTCTTGAAAGTGGTATCTTGAACACAGTATCCGGTAACTGTGGTGGAAAGTCTAAACATAGGCTGAACACCTGCATAATGTCTGGCCCTACATCTTTAGTTCTTACTGTTGTTAAAAGAGCCACTGAAGTAAGAAAAAATGTATATTCAACATCCTACTGCACAGCCTGGAACTCTTATGCTGTACTATACAGATATATGTTTATTAAGGAAACTGTCATAAAAGCAAAGCTAGCTAACATGAATGTAAAGGTCTGGTGAAATAAAGGATTAACATTCTACTATGATATTTTTCATCTTCTAATTCCACCCTTTTCATCAGTCCCAATACATATGAGCTCCTCTTCTCCTGTCTTGATCAGATTGTCAACAAGTAGATTAAACTTCAATTATTATTTCAGATAAATGGTTAAGCCAATCATTTAATCCCAATTTTCAAAAAAGACCACATGTATAAGCTTTGCATTTAATATTCATATTTTTTACTACCTGTATTGAGTTTGTGTGGCAAGGCTGGGGGGTGGGGAGTACAGGAGTGGTTTCTGTGAGAAGTTGATAGAAGTTTTCCCCATGTCGGACAGAGCCAATGGCAGCCGGTTCCAGGATGGATCCACTGCTGGCCAAGGCCAAGTCCATCAGTGCAATTGGTAGCAGCTCTGGGAAAACGTATTTAAGAAGGGGGAAAAAAAACCCCTGCACAATGGCAGCTGGAGAGAAGAGCGAGAACATGTCAGAGAAACAACTCCTCAGGCACCAAGGCCAGTGAAGGAGGAGGGGGAGGATGCGCTCCAGGCACTAGAGATTCCCCTGCAGCCTGTGATGAAGACCATGGCGAGGCAGGCTGTCCTTCTGCAGCACATGGAGTTCACAGTGGAGCAGAGATCCCCCTGCAGTCCCTGGAGGACCCCACACAGGAACAGGTGGGTATGCCCAAAGGAGGCTGTGACCCCACAGGGGATCCACGCTGCAGCTATTCCTGAAGGACTGCATCCCATGGAAGGGACCCACACTGGAGCAGCTCATGAAGAACTGCAGCCGTGGGAAGGACTCGTGTTGGAGAAGTTCATGGAGGGATGTGTCCTGTGAAAAGCCTTTACAGGAGCAAACAAATGTACTTATGGTAAGGAATCCAAGTATCTATACACGCTTGTATCTAAACTGGCCATTCTTCAATATGACACCTAATACCTCGTTTAAACACATACAGTGTCTGATAGTCTGCCCTGTTTCTATCCTTACGGCAACACACACAGCATGTTTCACTTGTTAGGAATCTGTTTAAAGAGTATTAATCTTATTTTTCATTTGCAAGTACATTCAAACATTCCCGTAATTTCAACAATTTTATTCTTCTACCCACCTGCCTCTGGAGTTCTGCCAGGTTGTAAGGTAATGCACCTTCAGCCAGTGGTGCTATTCTCTCAATATCTGCCAAAGTTAAGCGCCTTTACACACGGCAGAGAAAAGCAAATTACGGTTAGATAAAACATCAAACATATTCAATACAGTATTCCTGGCCACATCCCCCCAGAGCACATCTGAGTTTAAGAAAAGACTGTCATATTTGAATGCACACCTAAGAAGTCTGTTACACTGCAGTAAAGAATGCCTGGAGATAAAGGCAGCTTGGGTTATTCAGAAACGAGTTCTTGACTACTAGTAAGGAACATAATATGCGAGTTAAAGTATTTCTAGCTAAGATCTTGCATGCATTAAAGATCCATGTAAAACATTAACCAGTGCATTGCAGCCTTTTGGGAGTACTGTAATTAATACTATTTTATATTTCATATGTATACCTGTAATAGAACAATTAATAACTTTGCTTGATATACACAATCCACTTACAAAACCCCTGCACACACTAAAATCAGTTTACATTGAACAAATTACTGTAACAAAATACAATGGAACATAAAACTGTTTAAGATGGAAAATAATTACTGTAAAATAATTATTGTAAAATGGTAAAATAATCATTATGTTACCCAGTAACACTGTATAAATCTGTAAGTTGGTAGAGAATATCTATTTCCAGTGGTGTAACTTGTCCAAAGTGGATTGCAGAGTGGGTAAATTCCTCTGGATTTAAAAGGGAAAGAGAAATACAACAACTGTGTTAGTTGTCAAATTTCCTCTTTAAATGGTCACAAATAACTTTAGTATCATAAAAATTAAGTCTATCATCAAGAAGCAAAATCCATAATGCAAAGGGGAAAGATATCTTTAGGAGAACATCTATCCTGAAACAGGCCTTTGCAAGACAGAGCAAATCCGACTCTGCAGCTCTGATTTATGGTAAGAAATCATCAAGGAGAACAAAACTCCTCATATGAGAAAGCTTATTAAAATGGCACCCACAATTCGTGATTCTTGCTTCTGAAGTTTTGCAAAACAGAACAGGATAGAATAATGGTCCATTATTCACAGTATTAAGGGCAACTGACTCATCTACTGCCATCCTGTCCAGGCTTCTTCCTCTTCTAGTTCTGAATGACCACAGGTTTGGGTATTCACCCAGCCAAATTAACGAGTCTGAGCAGTGAAAACACAGCAGCCTTTTCTCTCAGCACAAACCCAGGCAAGATGTATTTCTGCATCTGTACCAAAAAACATTGCTAGGCAATTTGTTATCACAATTTGGAGGATGAAAATAGGAATTTTATGCTTTCCTATGCAGAGCACAGAAATATAAGCCAAACAAAGAGGAAAAAGAAAAAAAAAATAATTTGGCGTGTTTTTAACACACAGTGATTTGATTGGTGCCATCCATATAGGTAATAAAATTGGTGATAAAATATGTCATAAAATGACGACAAAAGCAATCCATTCATGCCTGTGGCGAGACTGAGATATGGCAACCTTTCACATGCAGGAGGATTTGCCATGTACTAACAAACATAAACTGTATATAAAACCACTCAGGCAGGTAAGCACTTCTGAGGTTATAAATTCATACACATTTTCTAAAAAATATTTAATAATTAATAAAGTAGGAAAAAAGAAATAAAACAACACAGAGATTACTCATGACAGATTTTCAAACTTAACCCATTTTAGCACATTCCCCAGGACCATTCTATCTCTAAGCAACAATGCATCTCTTTCAGTGAGAGATATATAATAATATACTGACTTGCAGTTACCCATGAAAACTAAGAAGGGCAACACAACTTCTGCCAGAATCTTCTCTTTAATGAGTTAACTGAAAATACTTACTAACCCATGAGGATGAAAATCACTCACAGTTGAAAAAACACTTTCATAGCAGCCCTAACCTTGCATACTATTGTAGCTTCTGACTTGCCTCAACCATCACCAGATTACAAAATTGACAGAATTAAAAAATTAATAAAATGTAGGAAACATATTTTACCTTTGGTGACTTCAATATCTCTTCTTGTACCTGCTATATTACTGTATATCTTCCTAACAAGATCCATGTTATTCAAAAGGGCATTAAATGCATTGAAAAAGGAGAAGCTGACCTGATGTGAAACAGTTCCACCAGCTACCTTTAAAAATGAAATGAATGCAGTTAAGTGTCTTAAGCCCTTCTACAACATCTTATTACAAATTATAGAAACATCCATTTGAGCAAATTATGAAAGAATTAAAGATATCCTTCTATTCCTGTAATTTTAAGATATTTTTAATGGAAACATGAGGGGAGAATTATTAAACAGGATACCATTTTGTAGTAAAAATTGAACATTAGGAAACGATTAGAAATAATCACGTAAGTAGATTATTGTTCAATATATCTGATAGACACACTAAATGTGTCACTGAGTAATTTTCTACAAGAAAAATGCATGCAAATGCTACTTTTGATAAAGGTACTAACTGACTGCTGCATCACATACACCAAGGACCATCTACTTCAAAGTCTAAAATTAGTAGATACTCTACATTCTATGGAAGACAATATGCCTTATTAGTAAGGCAAGGCAAGATTTATAGGTAAGATAGTAAGATTAAAGTAATTATCTTTTATCTGAATTTCATTCTTATATAATTTTCATACTATTTAAGTTTATAACTTGTATGTCATTACTTTACCTACAGATCTTGCCAAACTATCACAGCCGTAACCATTCTACCTCTAGAATCTACATACTGATTTTCCAAATTCTGATCTGAAAAAGAAAAGAATGCAAGAGTACATAAAAGACAGGACTGAAAGTAGCCTCCAACTTGTGAGATGTGTCATATATTCAAATATAAAAATTGGATCCTTTTGTCCTAAATTACTTCCATGGGACTTGGTGATCTTAAGGGTTTTTTCCAACCTAAATGGTTCTACAATTCTACAATTCTTTCTTTGCCAAGCAAAGTCTGCCCTGCTCTAGGGGAACGTACAGTAGACTAACTTAAACTGCTTCCAGTGGCACTTCAAACATGTAAACCGGACTGCCAGCCTTTTCACTACTGCAGCCAAGGAATGCTGCCATGGTTCACCCCAACCACTGTGTTATGAAGCTTATAATCTCTAGCACCAAGGCAGTGACAAGTAGGTAGACAACAAAGTGGGAGAGAAGCAGAACCATCTTAAAGCATTACAGCTAAAAAACACTGAACTCAAGGCACTTTTTTTACACTTACTGAAACTAAATTTTCTTCCACAAATGGAGTTAGCATATGTGAGCGAATGGTAACCATGATCTCATTGAAGTCCAGCCCAGTTATCAGACCAGTTTTGTTTTTGTCCTTCAGAGCAAAGGCTTGTCTTGCATGTTCTGACTGCAGCTCCTAGAATGAATATTCAGAGACAGTAGATTAGAAACAAATTCTGTAACTCACTGTTCACAAAACTTTCACTAATTTCATAATCTTATGCTCCAATAGGTCTGTGCATATTGACCACAGCACAACTACAGGTTAAACTTCAAGGCTAGCTCAACTAAAACAAGAAGTCTGCATACTGATTCTATCTACAGATCATTCCTCTCTCAAAGAAAAGCCTCAATTCAACTGTAAGGAAACACACCCTTTCATTAAATGATTTGAGAAATAAACTTCATATACCCTTGTCCTGTGTGTTATCTATTTCTTTATTAAGTACTGCTAGAGAAACTTCTGGTATTGATCTTAAAGACTCAAAGTGAGCTGATCTCTTACACACCCAGGATGAGATATGACCGGGCTATTATAAACTAACTCATTGAAAAGTACTTGAAAATAAACAGGAGGACAGTGAAAATTATATAATATAGATTTAGACTGCCCCAAACAGCTATCTTCCAAAATGTCAGAAATGGTCATTCATTTCAGGCAATTTAAAACTCCTATACAAACTGTAAACACCTTCATATAAAGCACACCATGGTAACCCAACCTCAAGATAATAATGATGGTTGTAAATTCTATGTCCAGAAAAAGTTGTTTCCTTCTATTCAAGCAAACAATAAAAGCACATTCAGCTGTCATTCAGACCTCTAGAAGCTGCTAAAATAATAACCATGTTCTGACAGACAGTAAGAAGAGGGCAAACCATCTGGCTTATATCACCTTTGCAGTAATTGCTCAACTCTCATAAACTCATGATCAAGGTTTTCTAGATCAGGGTGCAACAAATGTGCTCTGATCCAAGTCCCAAACCCCAGCAGATGCCATTAGAACAAATGAGAAAAAAACACCTGATCTAAAAGAAGGGGTAACAATATCCAATTTGTGTACATATTGAAATTACTGCAACCCATGCCAGCCTTCCCCACTAAGGGTTTTTATTATACGATGACAGTAAGAGGTCACTTTATCTTACGTGGCAGTATCTTGGAACAACAAACATAAAACCAGAACAGATATTTATCACTTTGCTCTGAGTTCCCAACAAAAAGGTTCTTCTCACTAATAACCTGGGGGCTCCATTCTGCACTCATGTCCCAGATTTGTGCCTGGAATCACTTAAAATATGTAGTATCTAACATGGGACAGTTTGTTACTTCGAAGTATCGAATTATACCACAGCCTTGAAAGAACTGTGCCAAACTCCAGTCTCCCAATATAGACATCAGTTCCTACAGCTGGGTATGTTTTTCTAGAATCTGCTCTAGATCAAGATACAGCTCAGTATAGGAAAGACATGGACTTGTTGGAGCAGGTCCAGAGGAGGGCCACAAAAATGATAAAGGGCTGGAGCACCTCCCCTATGAGAAAAGGCTTGGGAGAGTTAGGGCTGTTCAGCCTGGAGAGAAGAAAACAAAAGGATCCTGGAAGAGCTTACTGTGGCCTTTCAATACTTAGAGAGGGCTTATAAGAAAGATGGGAACACACTTTTTAGTAGGGCCCATTGTGATAGGACAAGAGGCAATGGTTTTAAACTAAAAAAAAGGTAGCTCAGATTAGATGTAAGGATGATGTTCTCTACGATGAGGGTAAAACACTGGAACAGGTTACCCAGAGAGGTGGTAGGTGCCCCATTCCTAGAAACACTCAAGGTCAGGTTGAGCAGAGCTACAAGCAACCTGATTTAGTTGAAGATGTTCCTGCACATTACAGGGGGGGTTGGACTAGATTACCTTCAAAGGCCCCTTCCAACCCAAACTATTCCGTGATACCTATTTTTATCCTGGACAATAATTGCAGATGTCAAAGCACATTATCACTTCTTACTTTTAAGACAGTACATACAAAACTTTCTTTGTACCAAAGATCAGTTCTGGAAGTGCATGATCTATTTTTCCTCATGTCTACTAGACAGAAAATTATATCATGAGGTGATCACTGTATGTTAATTTATGGAATTCAGTGCAATTACCTACAATTCTGCCAACTCCTCTTCCATGAATTATAATGTAAATACCTCCTACTTTCCTCTTTCTCTATGCTTTATAACTGACATCTTCCTTTACTGCCTTCTAGTATAATGTTCAAATCATAATGTTTTAACTTTTTGGCTTAGTACAAAGTGCAGTTCAACAAGAGAAATCCTTTAAAGCCCAGTCCCTAGCGGATGTTTCAGCAACATCTCAGGAAATCAGATGTACCTCCTGCAAAGTTGGCTGCATTTAAGACTTAACTCCCAATACATGCATGCCAGTGAGAGAAGAAAAGTATTAGGATAATGTTTATAAAATGAAGTGTTACAAAAGCTAAAACTTTTATATGGGAAGTTATATGGTCAATAACAACTGGCTATATTAAGGATGCTAACTTTCTCTGGTAGACATTACTTTTGCTATTAAACTCCTATGACAGAAAAAGTGGACCCTCAATCCAGTGTAACAACAATCAATAAAACTATTAATTCCATAAACAGCATGTTTAGTCCTATTCTTTTAAAAGATGGTATGTAAGTTAAAGCACAATGAGTACACACTGCTTACAATGGAGAAATAACAGTTCATCATAACTGTCAGGATTAGTATCAGATAAGGATTACCACTACTGGAATAAGCTCAAAATTTATAATGGTATTAGTGTATTAATAGAATTGAAATGAGTTTCAGTTCTACTTTGGAAGAAGGTTAATAACTGACCTGAAGAAACTGAGTGAACTCTGAATAGTTAAGATGCTTCTTCCTGTTATGTCCAAAATGCAGTCGAATGAACTCACAGTCCCAGTTGAAGGGGATATGAAGATGAGTAAGAGTTTGTTCAAATATTTCTTTGACATTTGCTTTGGGGGAGGGAAAAACAACAAGTGAGCCTCAGGGTACAATAAATCTACAAACATTCCAGGCTGGATACAAACAAATGATGATTTCAGCAGCTGTTTAAGAAGTTTTAAAGCTTGTTAAGAATAATTGCTACCTGAACCTTTACAGACCTATAAGAACATATTTGAGACACAATGTGATACTTTTTGTATTACTGCATAAAACCTTGGATTGAGTGTTTTATTTTGTTTTAATTAAGAAGCAATTTCTCTCATACATGACAAATAAGAGCTATTTTGCATTCTGACATAAAAATCAATAGTGGTTCTCTATCTCTGCCAGGAGTCAAATTAAGCCTTTTATCAAGAGCACGAATACCTGCATTACAGTCTCAGGCAATATTTGTCATACTAAGTATGGTTTGATTGAAACTTGATTATTACAATCACACTCTCTGAATATGGTTATTGAAGATAGATATAAGAAATGACATCTAAAACGTATCATTAACTCAGCAGAAAGCACATTATTAGATGCTTTTGATAAGGCCGTAGCACAAAAATCAAATCCTATAAGACATAATTGATAGCCTCAGTTATTAAAATGTTTTAAGATAAGTGAAGATAGAAATGTCCTCTTTTAAATGAAGTAAAGTAAAAAACTGCCATTTCAGATTATGGAATTCTCCACATGTATACTGTAGAAATGAAATCCCAATGCTAAACATATTATCTGAATTTAGTCAAAAACCTAATCTGAAAAACATCGTGCATTATTCATACACAGCAATGCCATGCTGCAAACAAGTCTGCTTTTTGTGCAGATTATCCAACCACATAAACTGCATAATTGGACCTCTATCCATACCATGTGAACACTTTTCAAAATTTACCTCATAGGACCTGAAACGGTTTGTTTTTATCAACCTAGAACGTGATAACAACCAAAATAAAATCTGGTATACAGCTTAAGTTTAAAGTACAAAATATTTTAGCTGAAACCACACCTTTTATGTTTAAACAGTTCTGCTAAAAGACCAAATGCAATGAGACCCTTAGTTATCATCTGGTAACTCTATCAAGAGCTATTTGTTTGGAGTAAATCTACTGCTTTCTCTATGCTAAAAGACTACTTGATTCACTGTTTCAATTCTACAGCCTTTCTAGTAGTTCTAAATCAAATCTAGGCAAACCACTATATGGTTTTATGTTTCCAGTGAGAAAAAGGAAGGTAAATGTCCAGAATATATGTCTCAGAACAGGTACATGCAAAGTAGGATTCCTTGGCTAGATTATCTGCTTCACAGTTAGACTGAGATTACATATTCAAAGGGCAGGTTGTGGTTAGTGGTATAGTACAAAACCTACAATTAAAACCACAGTTTCCACTGGAAGGCAGGCAAAAGAAGCTATTAGGGTAAACAAAAAACCTAAAAAACTATTCCGACTACTTGTAACTGTCCACTCATATCTACTCACCAGTATCAATGTGCAAGGTGAGGGTTAAGAAAAGAAAGATAAAGCACCAAATACACAGTGCTAAACTATTTCATTTTGCTATATTTCCCTTGAAAGTTTTGTCTGCAGTAGATTTATTCATCACTGCTAAAGATCAACGAGTCAAGATCTGTAAATATAAATTCCCCACCTACCACTAATTCACTACAGCTTCTGACCAAGCTACCTGGAATCTTCATGTACTACAAACACAATCAGGTCAGCGCAGCTCAGTGTGGAGTCTGCAAAAACAGCACTGAACTGTGGGCAGTGCAGAAGACAGGCCTCCTTCGCTGGGTCTGCTGGCTTGGCTACTAACGTACAAGCAGGGTGCCAAGCAGCAACTACCTACGTGTCTGTGTAACTGATTTCTAATAACCACCAAATTCCCCTAATGAAAACTTAGGAAAGAATGTGCTGAAGCAGCCAGAGAATTTAAATTGTATTTTCACTTGTTTGTGATAATTGCTTCTTTTAACCTTAGACAAAGGTTAAAAAAAGTCTTTTTTCTTAAAACATTTCTTTTCTTATCCATCCATGTTCATAGAGACAGATCTTTCACTTAGACTCAAGCCCCTGGTGTTTTCATAACTCTCACTCCAGCATTTAATTTTACACTATTTAAATGACAAAGAATCTTAAACTGCTATATTCATAAAAACATTTATAACTAGTCATCAATATATCACAAGTCAAGATTCTTCAGCACATTAAAATAATAGCTAAATTAATAACTTTATATTCAATAGTTGAATACTAGTACTTGAAGGCATATTAGTACTTGAAGAATTCAGAAGTGGCTAACTAGCTTTAATAAATGGTATCCAGACTAGCCTGCTGCTTCTCTGAAAACTCAGGTGCTTTATCCATGTCTCCTCCACAGGCACTCACACTCAGCAATGTATACTGCATGTACTACAGTACAGTAGTTTAAACTACAGTCTTTAAACTACAGTTTAAAAATATGCTCTTGTATCTAATGCTTATTTAATTCCATGTTGGCTTTGTTTATGAAACACTTGGGAGTACTGAGGTAAAATTGTGTACTTGTTCTGAACAATCACAGAATCATAGAATGGTTTAGGTTGGAAGGGACCTTAAAGATCCCCTAGTTCCAACCCCCCCTGCCAGGACACCTTTCAGGTTGCTCAAAGCCCCATCCAGTCTGGCCTTGAGCACCTCCAGGCATGGGGCAGCCACAGCTTCTCTGGGCAACCTGTGCCAGTGCCACACTACAGTCACTGTTAAAACCACAGAAACACTAAATACAATCTCCCAAAGCCATCTGAGATTCTCAAACACCTGTCAACAGGTGCTAAAATTTACTATGTCTACGTAAGAGCATGGGTGCTTTCTTCACAACATATCAAGAATACCTTTTTAATCCAATTTTTCTGGCTATTCTCTTACACTGAATAGCCATCACCACAGCTAACAACTTTTGTGATGAGAAGCAGCAAACAGACAATCACATTTCAGAAATTGCACATAATGTGATCACCACCTGCACTTTCACCACTCTGAATTATGATCAAATGTTTAATTTTTAATTATTTTTTTTCCCCACAGTAGAAGCAAAGCATTGACAACAAAGAAAACAGGTAATGTTAAGGTACAGATGCTGGGTTTGCCCGTTTTTTTTATCATCCCCTCAGAAACCTAGTAATGTTTCTAAATTAAGATAAACTACAACTGTTTCAAATTTCCAACATAGTTATTCTGCAGGTGGGCAAACAGCAAATTATTTTTAAAGCCTTTCATTTTAGTATGACATTTTACAGAATGCATTCATCATCCCTGTCAATACATGCTGCTCATTTACTAACGTCTTCTACTCTTTGCTCACCTTTCCACAGTGGAATTCCTTCCTACCGAGCTGATAACTTTCTTTCCAGGCATACAGGAGCACATTTTCTTCTCAGATGGGCATACAAGTCAGCAGCCTGATGACACGCTCAACTTACCATCAGCCCCAGGAACAATAAACCTACTACTCTAGTGCACTAATACATTACCTCCCAGGCGACACACATTCTCACAAGATTGCTTCGGAATTTCCCCACCCAATCATTTTAAACAAATTACAGATGCCTGGAGCAGCCATCTGCAGGCAGCGTACACATGGCTGGCTCAACCTCCATCAAACATTCTTACCTATCAGGCTCAGAAATATAAGAAAAACAAAATTTCTGGGCAATACTCCATGTCATATAAGGAGAAAGAATAAATTATAAACACTATGATGTCTTGGTGGTGGCCCACTCTAAGGATGAGCTCAGTACTCCAAGTAAACCTTGAGGTAGTACCTACTATTTATTTTGACTTAGCAGCTCCCCAAGAAGTAGAGCAGAAACCTCACACAGTTCCAGTGCCATCAACCTGTTAACAGTTTGCCATTGCCTCTCACCAGTGATGAAACATCGATCATGCTTGTTAGGGACACAAAAATATAAAAGTGGTAAGTCTTAAGTAGCAGCAAAAGCATACTAAGGTTTGTTGTTTATCAGGATTGTTTTGCAGTTTCTTCTGTCTACTCTAATCTACTGTCCCATTTGTAAATATTTCAGGCCTAATGCACATAATGCATTTTAACATTTATGTTGCTGGTTTTCACTGTTTCTGATAATAGCATATTTTCACTTTGAAGCCTAAAATAAAGAACCCCAGTTAAAGGCAGAAAGACTCTTCTGTAGCACCTGATGCCACACAACTATATTGAGTGATCCAAATGTAAGTAATACAATAATTACTTTGATGTGAGAAAGCTAAACTAGAAATAGTTACACAGTATTTCTACTTTTATTTTAAAAGGATTAGTGATTCTATTTCAAATTAATGACAGCCTTAACAAAAAATTCCTTTTCTGTTCTCTCTTGTTGAACTATGGTTTTGAACTCAGTATTATTAGGGGGTTCACATGTATTTAAAACTGTGGTTTAAGCCTGAAAAAATCACACACACACACACAAAACAAACAAACAAACAAAAAAGAAGTGGTGTTTCCTATATTGTCTGTATGTGTTAAGTAAAAGACACCTTGAAAACAGGTAACTATACAGCTACCAGGAGGCCAAATAAATAGCAGTTCTGGTTTAGAGCACACTTGATAAAAACACAGTGTTTTTCTTATATCGTCAGCTCTGTAGACACGTGATTGTATTTATCTGTTTACATTATAGAAGGTTTCCAGTTTTTATGGTTGCAAGTAATATTTTAGAATGCAGAACTTTTAAGATTAAATCCAAATTCTAGCATTTTCAATCCAATTGTCCTTTCAGAACCAGGGGAGGAGTTAGTAGTAGGAGTGATCCACGTTTCCCAATGCTCAAAAGCAAAGCACTAGTAATGACATACATTCAACTTCTTTCTCTTGTTCTTCTCGCTCACTTTCTTCCAGTGATTAGGGGAATCCTGACCTTTCTCTCCCAGATTAAACTGCTTTAAGAAAATAGATGGGCAAGACTTCAGTATCACTGTATACTCAACTTCTGAAACTCCTAAACAGATGGTTATTATTTCAGTTCACCAATATCATGTAATTTTCAAATACTGGCATTACTAGGCATCTGATTGCCTTCCTCCCCCAATACTTTTGAAGAAGACAGCTATTATACTCTGCATAATATTTGTAATTAGATTTTGAGCTACAGGATGTTTTTAAAAGCCTTATGTACAGTTCCGTAAATATTTTCCAATTATCTCCATAGTAATTCTGAATGCACAAGAATCACAAACATATTTTAGCTTTATCTTTCTATCCGTATCTGCATGTGTATTTAACTAAAAAAGCATCTTTGAAATTCTCCAGTTGATCAGAGAATGGCTTTCTTTGTGGTGAGTCTACATGGAAGCACAGCTGGGAAAAGCCTTGGAAAACTGATGTAGTCCAGATCATTGTATCGTGTGCCAAAGAGATATATTACAAAGAATCCTTTTACTTCCAGTTAGACAACCTGTTTTTCAGAGAAGTTTCAGTCATGGTCACAGACTTCCATCTTTTAGGCACAGTAAGGATTATCCACTTCAACATCGGGAAAAAACTAATAGCTTGAGCAAAGTCAGGTGTGCTTTAACCTGAATTCAGGTCAAAAGACCTGCACAGAAGAGAGATAATATTCCTTAGTACAATAGTATAAATTTTATGGAGTGTTTTCAAATATTTCACCCACGTTAAGCAGTTTAGTCAGTTATATCCCATGATCAAAAGAGCAAAGCATTTGTCAGTCTTCTCTGGCTACAGACAGCAACCCGTAATGAGAAAACAATGCATGAGAAAAAAAACCCCACTTTTCTTCATCAGCTTTAGCTGTTACCTTTTAAATATTTTATGGTTAATGCAGTATTGTAAGGGTTCATCAGCAATACATTTTGCATAAAATATTCACCTAGGAAGCATTTATGAAGATGCAGAATCACGTGAACAGGAAAATACATGCTATTTTTCTATTTCTACATGAATTTAAAAGTAACTTAAACTACACTGTCACTTGTATAACTGGGTTATTAAAACAGTCATTTTACTGCTTTTTATTCACCAGGCTGACAGCAAGTCCAGTGTACTAAGCACGCTGTGCGGTTTGCTCATACAAAGTAGGTCAAATTTCTTGTTGTTGCAATGGACCTACTATACAAATGTTGCAGAATACTAACTGCATATTTATGGAAGTCGGTCATACAGAGTTTCTGGATGTCCAAAACTCCTGAAAAAGTGTCTCAAAGCGTTAAGAAAGCAGATGATATTAAAGTGACAGAAGGTTTCATGTTTCAACAATTCCAACTAACATATGATATTGCACAGACAAGTACTTTGATGAGCATAGCATAGCTGACAAGTATTTCTACAAAACAGTTTTTAAAGAATCATAAACTCTTGCTCCTCTTCTAAGACAGTTCTTCTGTAATACAATTTAATTAATAGTTTCATCATTGGAGAGTTGGAAACTCAACATTTTAAGAGACAAGTGGCAGACTGAGGCTCAAGAGGAGTGTAAAATGCTGAAGTGCTTTAGTATGGTCCAAAATCATGTCACTAAAGAAATCCTAAATAGCAGATGTGAACCCAACTAGAGTGACTTGCTTCAAATACAGAGCCAGTTCTAAAATTGAACAAGCATACTTAACTTTTCCCAGATAACTGAAAACTGGAGTAGCTGAGAATATTTTTGAAAATGCAATATCTCACACAAGGCCAGTGTTGGGTTCAAGTTACTGGTCTAAAAGACAGACACAAGTTGATTCTGTTCCTTGCTCCAGATGCACAGTGCAGGAAAACCTCAGTAAATCCATGTTGCTTCTGGCCAGACTTACTGGTTTGAGTTAGCTTTGGCATCAGTGCAATCACATCCACAGAGCATTTCACCTGAGCTAGAAAATCTTGACTGGTGTTTGCTCCCATAACCAATACGGTTTCCCTGCAGACTTGGACACATCACAGTCTGTAACAGGCTTGACTTGTCTGATAGCCATTCCATACCAACTGTCTAAACTTACTCCATTTCAGTATATTTCTAATAATTTACTAAAACTTTTCACTTTAAGACTTATTTTTCTATACTGTCTCTGTTTCCACATGAAACTAAACTCTGTGCCTGTCTGTTTATGTGGTACAGAAACAAAAGAGTGCAGGACTCACTTATAAACAGCCTCTAATGGCCGGAAGACTGACTTGGAAATTGACTGAAGGGTTACCAAATTCTGAACATATCACATATCATTATTCCCATTTTTCACACACGTATTAATTTGCATGATATGCGTTATGAAGTAAACAGCCCACGTAACAAACAAGAACTAAAAAAAAAGGTAAAAAAAGCAGCACTAAATGTGGTAACTGTAGCACAAAAAATATGTACTAGGTTATGTTGCAACATATAGTAATAACTGCAATATAATTTCATAAAAAAAATGAAACCAACAGTAAATTTAAAGTTTCCTAAAGAATTTCGTTTTCAAGATTTATCAGCCCTATAAAAAAAATTCAGCAAGATACAGAAAAAACATGCAATTCTCTGGTTTACAATTTTTCTTGTTTGTGTTGTTCTTTTAGACTTTAATTTAATTACATGCTCATAAAAATAACAATCTCAGTCTGACTGAGCAATCTGTGTATCATCTGAAATGTATACAATTTTGTCAATTTATGGAACCAGCAGTTTCAAGTGTGCTCATGAGAGCTACAAAGTTCAAATCCCCGTTTTGTGAGACTATTAAATACATCATCATTAAAGTGGTCACACTGATTGCAGTAGTTTCTCCAGTTCCTAATGACTGCATTTACTGACTTCACCTTTACGTAAATTCTAAAAGATTTTCTTTTCAAGATGTTGTGTCCCAATTGCTTAGTATTTGACTCTTCAGTTAACGATGTAATTTAACAGACATCGAAAGTCAAGCAGTTTGTTTCCATAAAACAACCCTTGCATATTTTTTCAACAAGTTGAAACATTTTTTATACGAATGAAATAGTACAAACAGCAAGTGGTTACAAATCCAAGCATAGTTTGTATTTTCTTTATTAAGAGCTTTATTCTTTTGGATAGAAATAACATTTAATTCTCAATCCATTTTATTATAATTCTTACCATTGATTTATCTAATTTTCATAAACATGAAGTTTTAAAAATAAAGCCTACCCCTCCTTAAACTGCAGTGTTAATTAGGGGGAAAAAAGGTAACAAAACTGAAGGCCATTATTTTCTTCCTAGTTTTTCAAATATATGATCTAGTTCTAAGTTACACTCATAACATTAAAGATTTGCTCCTCAAGAAAAGGAACACTAACCTAGGAAATCAAAAGATTACACCTCCTTAATTTCTATATTGAGCTCTTACTGTGTCTAATGACAATTCTTCAAGGATATGTGGAGATCCAGAATGTATTTTAAAACTCCCCCATCGCTGAAGCAGTTTAAAGTCCAGGACATAAAATTTTGCCCAAGATGACACTGAACAAAACATCATTGTATTAACTACCTTAGGAAAATGAAAAATCTTGATTCAATAAGAGAGAGCAAAACGTATTTGGTCTCTGTGTACTTCTTAAGTTGTAACACTTGGAAAAAAAACTACTCATGCAAACTCTTAGGAAAACAGTACATATGCACTTCTATGCACCTGTGGTCAGGAACCATTATTATGACTGATACTTTTATAATCACTTTCTTAAGCTGTTTTTCTTTAGGTATTCTTACCAAATGTTATTTCTCCATTGCCATTCCTGTCAAATAACTGAAAAGCAACAATGAATATTGCATCTGGAGTACACAAAACAGATTCAAATGCCAAAAATTCTTGAAACGAAATTAACCTACAAAGGAAAACACAGAAGTTAAAAAGGTTAAAAAAAAATATTCATAATACCAACGATCATTTGCACTTGATACTCTAGAAAACTGTATGATCCAAATATTAAAATAAAACTCTAACATTAAGACTCTAGAAACTGAAAAGTATTTGTTACAGTTAAGTAGTTACTTAACCTTCATGCAACTTTCTTCCTCTATAAAGCAACTGAATTCTTCATATCCATCAAAACCAAACATAATCCATTCCCACTGAACATCTATAATTCATTACTTTGTAATAAATGTAAGCATACAGCACTTAAAAATTAAGATATAAAAACCCAAATTCTATCACCATGAAATCTACAGGTCTGTCACTGTATTACTATATATATTTCTACTGAGAAAGAAAAGATACTTTAATTCAAGTAAGGAATATACTACAAAACATACATTTTCTTAAAACAATGCATAACATTAAAAAATAAAAACAGGGTCAGAAAAAGTTAAACTTTACTTTATATGGAAAGAATATTACACTTCAAATATAATGTGAACCGCCAAGTCATGAACTTGGGGACAATAAAGAACGTAGGAACATTTGGACACAAGGACATTTACAGGTGACAAGGCAGGCAAGGACTTGAGTGTAACAGCAGATCACAAGATTCTGAGTTGTTCATGCAAGACAGTCACTACACAGAAAAAACCCAACTCAAGATGCATCAGTAAAGTTGTTTCTGTGCACGATAAGGAAGCAGCGATAGCCCCAGATAAGGTTTCTCCATCATCTCTGCAACACTGCAGAGAAATCCAAGTCCTTGTGGTCACTGCATATAAACTCAGATTTGAATGGAGAGATAATTTCTTAGGATAATAAAAAGTACTTTTGCTAGAGGCACTCAGCTTATTCTAAGAGAAAAATAAAATATTTAGAAGAGATCCTAGCACTGTATGTATAAACAGTTGCAGAAAGATAAGCCTTAAGCTAAGGTAAAGGATAATGCTGGCACAAAAAATGATTGGATGTATATTTTAGCATCAAATAAATTATGAATGGGAATAAGAATTTCAATCCCATTTCTTTAATTAAACAAAAAATTACTACTTCAGTAAATACTGATAAAACATAGAATATCACTGTAGATGGTGCATTTTCCTAGAAAACGTACACAATTGTTCTGAACTTGGTACTCTTCATAGGATATCATTAGTTTATAGTGATTACTTCACACAATACTACTTACTCCTAATGAGCCAAGCATAAATTCTGTTCCCTACAAAGAAGAAAAAACAGAAGAAAATGCAGCCACACTATTCATTACTTTATCTAGTCTTTCTCTATCAAAGTACACAAGAAGCAGAATTGAGATACTTTAAAAAAAAGTTATATATGTTAACATCCTTGCATATACGTATTACACAGGAAATACAGAAAAAAATAGTGATTTTGAAAATACGGAAATGGCAAATACGGAATCGTGGTATTAATGTGTCGCATTTCAGCCACAAAAATCAGAGATATGAGACCGGTTCTTCAGACACGAAGTCGATCTCATCCGAAGGATGACCTTGATAAACAAGGGGTTAGTATGAAAGAAACAGATGATCCTTTAAAACAATTGTAAATACTATAATTCAAAATATACCTCACATACAAGCATAAAGCTGACAAACAAATTAATTCCTGATCAGGAAGCTTTAACACTGACAAAACCAAGTGGCGATCTCCATGGAATGCATTTGTAGAAGCCTGAACCTGAAAGAAGATGTCCTCAGAGGTCCCACTTTAACAGTGCCTACAGCAAAAGGAGATAGACACATTCAATTTCCTTTCCAGATATTCAACTTGCCATGTCTAAGAGCAGGGATATCCTCTATGATCCTCCATTAGTGGGGAGATAACAGCAACTGGATTAAACGGAATGATGGAGATTCCCACCCAATCACTACTCAAGCATCATCCAATAAACCCACTGCACTACAGAGTTCATAACAATATCAAATCACTCTTTTTTCATTTGTAACATTTTAAAAAAATTCCTTTTCCTCTATTTCCTCTCTGGTGTTACCCTCCAAAAGCACGCCAAGTAACCCATGTGTTTACAGTTCTTCTCTATGTTTCCTTTTACCATCCTGTAACTCTTTGTTCATTTTTCCCCACACAACACAGCTTTTTAGATGTTATGTATAGCTCTGCTGTGACTCTCCATTACGTGAAATACCAACTCTTTCTTCACAACCTTTTTCAAGAATGTATTTCCAGATTTAAGAAGGATATGCTGACAAAAAGAGTATGCAGAAACGAGCAATTAAAATGAAGAATTCTGAATTACTACTGTGAAATTTTGAAGGTCTGAAGGGAGAATGAAATCTTTTATTTTCAAATTGCAATATCTACTAATGTTAATTGACTTATATAATTGGGAAGCTGGTTTAGGCACATACATATATCTATAAGTACATTATTCAGAGAGGGTATTTATCCTAATTTCAAGACCAGTGCCAGCAGTCTGAAGACACAGGAACGTTTACAGTGTCAGTGAAATCCTGCTGCATTCAACAGACAACAGACAAGGAAGTTTAGGCGAAATTCTAATTTAGAGGTCTTTGCATTAATTTCTAAGAACATGCACTTGTAACAATGAGGAATAAACATTCTGAAAGTGAACAGTCATTAGTTTTACGAACTGCTGTACTGAGTTCCACTAAAGCAAACCAGTCTCGTACTGCAGTAATGGGAGCAGGCAACAGCATTCTGGAATAGTTAAATAAGGATCAAGTTACTATCAGAAAAAAAAGTAAAAAAAGTATTTTTTTTTTAAACACACGCCTACAGAGAGCCAGTTCCAAAATGTGCGCTTTTTTTGTAAAGTGCCAAACTTAAACCTAAAAGAAATAAAAAATATTAACAATGAAAGCAACCAAGAACACTGTGAGTATTTATCTGAAGAGCAAGCAAGGTTAAGAGACTACAACAGCAGATACAGAAATGATATTCTGTAAGAGAACCCAAAGCTTCTCAATGACTTGCTGTATGATGTTGGGCTGTCATTTACTTTACAAATATATCTATGGAATAGGGCTTCCTTGGACTTCTTTATAACTTTAGGTCCTCAGAAAGATGCAATGCATTCTGGAATTCAGTTGAAGATTACAATAATTATTCATGCTACAGATTAAACTCTCTGTGCAGATTATATAGTTATTAGTGTCTGGATTTTGATATGTTACAACTCACCACAAATGAAAGAATGTGAATGTAGAAGTAAATAAATAAACTGATGATGATGGGGGTATAACAAATTCTTCACATGAAATACAGGTTATGGACAAATATAATTAAGACATTTAGAAAAAATAAGCTTCAGACAAGTATTCAAACAGATAAACATTTTGCACTGCAGACTATATGGTAGTGTAAAATGAAAATCCCACTCTTCCCATACAGAAGCTGATAAAGCACACTTACCCATATTTGATTAACTCACTTCAAATATTACCCAGATTTAAAAAAAACCACACACAAAAAAAAAACCCAAAAACAACAACAACAACAACAACAACAACAACAACAAAAAAAAAACAAACAAAAAAATCCCTTTATATTCACTTCACAGGGAAAGCAACAAAAAGTGATGCCTCAAAGTTCTGTTCTAGCAATAAAACAAATTATTGATTTCTTACTGCAAGAAAGATCCTTTTGTAAGACATTTTCTGAAGAAATGCACACCATAAAAGATAACCAACAGCTTTCAGAGAAACAAGATACTAAGCTTGTTGGTTTACTAGTCACCAAATAGACTATTATTTCAACAGATACATACAAAACATCCTTTCCAATCTTAACAAAGCAACAAACTGTAGCCATGTACTGGAAACAGAGAGAGGTTATTTAGATTTATAAAATATATGCACATTCAAATGAATTAGCAAAGTACTGCAGCTTTATAAAAAGAAAAATCACGTAACATTACATCAAACAGGAGATCCTACTTTTGTCACCTAGGGTAAAAAGTATATAGCGTATATAATTTCACTAGTATAGCGCAGATACTGTGCAAGCTGCTCAAGACAATAAGCAAATTAATAAAATATTCTAAAGCAGAACACAGGAAAACAAAATAATTTAAGTGACCACGGAAGTTAAGGAGCTTTCAATTTAAAGTAAGTTAGATCTATATATTTGCAAATGTTTACTATCTTAACAGCATTTTCTTCCACATTAAACACCCACTCACTTCTACATTCTTCATCTCTTCTCTGATCCACCTTAACCTTGTCAATTTACTTCAACAATGTCCATACATCCTACTACAGTCCAAAACTAGAAGCCTACACACAGCAAAAGAAAAGGCTCCTTGGAAGACAAATGAGTTCGGGGGTACTACCTCAGCAGAGCAGACATTTTGCAAATTGGTTTGAGGGAACTGTCTAGAAGCAAGCAGGATCATCTGTAAGTAGCACTGGAAAAGCTTTATGTGCTGTGACCTTCTCTTCACTAGGCAAACACCTTCTTCCTGCGTAGAGTCATTCTTGCCTCTCTTTTCTAACAGTCAGTACTTTTAAAAAAACCTCAGTGGTTTGATTTGAATTGCACACTACAGAAATAAGAATGACCTTCCATATTTCCATGTTTAATTACAGGTACTGAAGACACTATACAGTATCTAATCAGGGACATGGGCATACAGAAAGGAACTTCTCCAAGGCAATCAAACTATGCTGAACTTCCCTGCAGTTGGCATTTGTCATATTTATTGAAACATCACTAAAATAAATCTGAACCTAAAAAAATCCATTTTAAACACCACTCTTTTTTCCCAGTTTTCCCAAATCTATAGTCTACTGTACTTGTGGAAAAAACTTACCTAAATAAGCTTAAAGGGTAATAAAATCAATAATGTATTTTAGAAGATGAAGTTATCCAACTCTTGACTCACACATTTACTAATGCATTACAAGTTTCAAATGCAAAGCAAAATTCTCACCCATCCTTGGTCTGATCTGCCACTCCAGCCAACAGCTGCACTGTTTTAGGATTGTGACGTGGATCTGTATGAAGTCCTAGGTATTTCTGCACAAAATCTTCTGGGGTCATGTAATGCTCGCCATCTTTCTCAACACTTGCATACTATAGTAAAAATAAAGAAACCATAAGCACACAAAGATTAATCCATTTAGATGCTAATTATTGGTGATTACCAAACTAGTAACATTAATGAATGTAACTTAAAACGTTGCACAACTGTCTGCACTAACTGCTCTAAAATTAAAGTGCTCGATTAAACTATCACTGTTACTGTTATAGTTTTATACTACCAACAATCAGATTTCCTTGTAGAATACATAATGACCAATATCTTCTAATTAAAAGACAGTTATATATTCTCACAAACTGTCAGGTATTACAATCATGTAATGTAGCTTTCCATTTGCTGAAAACACAGCACGTAAGTTTTCCTACAATTTCTAGTAGTAGATATTTTCTGAATAATTGTTCTTGATAGTTACTGTAATTATTTTCGAAAACATATATTACTTCTTTTCTCTTTTTGTAAGAAATAAACTTCCAGATGAATTTTTATCCTGAAACAAATTATTTTAAAAATTCACACACACAAAAATAAGATTTTAGTAAATTGAAATGTTATTTCTTTCAATTTCACTAGCACTGAATTTCAAAATAAAAATCACAAGCATATTTAAAATTTTATGATTTTGATTTGCATTTGCATTTGATTTGCATCTGCAAAAGTACTGATTTTTAATTTATTTGTAAAAAAGTGTTATGCTTTTTTAAGTCCTAGCAAGTAATCATTCTCTGCAGAAAAAGAAACGGCAATGCCTCCAAATATCTAAAGTGCAACATCTATATTAGTGAATTCAAACTTCAACTAACAGCCTTTTCCACTGTATGCTGCAGCACCTCCATTCAGCTGACACAGCTTTACATGAAAGAGTGTCAGCTCTCAAACAGGCCCTTACTCTGCCAGGGACCCACGGGAATCAGAGTATTAACAATAAGACGTACACACAATACCTGTTAAGGTGTAACACTCCATTAAGGTAAAGGGAATCATTCCCATGTCTCATACTTGTTTCACCACCAGCTCAGTCTGGCCACACTTTCAGCAGGAAGGAGCTTGCACCAGCATCAGTGCCTGCTTCAGCACCTCCTGTATCCCTTCCACAATACCAGCCCCTCACATCCCCTCATCACCTCTCCCTCTTCCACCCTATAGCTGTGATGACAGCTATTTGCAAGACTGCACTGTACACCAGATTACTGAATTTATGCAGAATTAAAACAGATTATTTCCACAAAAATAGGAACAAAAAACAGTGGACAGGAATCCTTCAATTCAGCACTGCTGCCAACATGACAGCATAACGAAATTGTGGCTTTCTTGAATCAACTCTGAAAGGTTCTCTTCTCAGTCGTACACACAAGTGACTGAAAATGCATTACGAAGCACAATTCTGCTGCAAGACATGAAATCCAAAGAAAATGTTATGTATGAAGGACCATCAAACATGCAGAGTATTGAGCTTATCTTCAAGAATAATGGAATTCAACTGTATGACAGCACAGTGCATATCAAAGACAGTCAAAATCTAAACATCACCATCTTTTTTCTCCAGATACCAGTGTATCTGAGTTTATTATAAATAATGATCTGTTTTACAAAAAAAATGTGTCTAGGAAGTTATATTACAAAAATTTTGAGACAAAAATAATTGACTGACATTTAGTTCCATATGAGAAGGTCGTGGTATTTTGAAAGAGCTTGGCAGTAAGCCAATAAATTAAGGCTTAACAAAGTAGCCAGGCATGTAAATACATTTGTCCTCAAGTTACCTTTTCACCATACAACTTAAGTCAAGACTCTCTTAGCACAAAATAGGCAAATGTAAAATATAACTTAATATGAATATAAAACATAACACATCAATTAAACTTGTGTTGTCCTGGGTCCTGAATGCCATAACACAAAATTCTTACTATACATTTAGAGACTGTCTTGGGTAAGCACTTGATGAATTCGCATGAGACTTCTAAAATTCATCACATAAAATGAACACACAAACCCCCTACTCTAGTTGTACAACTTAGTGCTAGGTACACACCACACTTTCAGAAACAATGCTTTGTTTTTAAAATTGGTTAGTTTTCAATTTAAAGGGGTTTTCTATCCCAGTGATTTTATCTGGGCAGAGGAGAGAGAAGTTCCAAAACAGGCACTATTAACATTATGTTTTTAAAATTAAGCTAAGCTATGTGCAAGAGATTCTTAAGCTTCTAAAAGCAAGAGATTTTTAAGCGATGACGGGGAAAGTTTCCTGTATTAAAACAGGGAATTGTTTTTGTTTCTTTCTTCACCTTGTTGGAAGAGGTTACACTTGAACTCAGCAGGCAGGGAATAATTCAACTATATTTCCCAAAGGCTGACTGTGTCTTCCCTAAGAGAAAAGAATGAAGGTGCACTAAGAAATCTAGCAACTGTGTTTCTACCTAACTCTTTTATCCTTCAGGGATAATTTGTTATCCAGTATGTTCTTTTATGGTTGTTACTGAAGTCTGCCTTCAGCAAACACCTAAGTTACCTGATGGTGCACAGACCAAAAATTTCAATGCCTGCATTTCATAGTTACAGGATTACAGAGAAATAATAGCACACCTTTTTAATGCAAGTAAAATGTTATTTTTTTAACAGTTCAAAATAGTAAAAAGAAACATATAGCAAGCTTTTGGAAATCCACTAAAATACAAAGTAAACTGGATGGACAGAGGGCACATAGCACTTTAGAAGACATGCATGAAGAGAAGGAAATTTAAGTACACTCTCTGTGATTAAGGTGGATGGTGACAAGGCCTACAGTTCACATCTTCCCTTCTAACCATTTCCAAGGGAAGCCAAATTTAGGAAGGAATGCACGACCTTTAGCTGAAGCTCACAGGCAGGCCAGCACTCTCAGCAAAGAGCACAACATATCTGACCCCTGATGGGTGCAACACTACCAGTATTTCATAATAAGGCTCTCTACAACTTAAGTCTCGGAAAGAATGATTCTCTTTTGATTTTTTTGAAGCTTGCAACTAAGTTCGATTGCTACCCATTACACAGAAACACAATTTCAAACTCAATTTTAATCAAACATAATGCCAAATAAACTCTCTTTCTATGCTCTTTTTACTGCAAATCGCAAATACTTTAGGCAAGAAAGAAGAGTGTTCATATTTTTTATCCCTCAGAGTACGAAACAATCCCCAACTTAATTTGTGTGTTTCTTAGAAGATAACAAGGTAAGACATGGAGAAGACCAAAAAGCTGTTTTAAAACCAGACTGTCTGCCAGATTGTTGGAAGATTTTTTGCTAGAAATTAAATGCTGGGCTTTCCCAGTTTGATGCCAGCATTCTAAGTTTTCGCACTCCAGCAATAGTATCAGTGTAATCCAGTATACAAAAGCAACAATCTGTCAAAATTAGGGTTGGGATACAACATCTCTCTCAGGCAAAAAGGTCTCTCTGACTACTTATAATATGTGGAAAAAATATGTTAGATAATACAGTAGAACCAGAAGTTACATGTCAAAAATAATACACTTTATTATTTACAGTATTAGCTCTAATATTAATTTCATATTCTTAACTTTTTCATAGAGAAAACATTCTTGAATATACTGCGTTAACATTGAGTATAAAAGGAAAAGAAGCTATTTTAGTGATTTTGAAATATCAGTGCCTTAACTATGAACTTAAAACACAACTGTTGTTCTTATTCCATATGCCTGATTCAAACCTCATTATAAAAGTTACAGGTTTGACTTGATTTTCCTTTCTGACTGTGCTTTACTGTAACTGAGTGGAAAAAGCTTCATGCTCTTATTTATATATATCTTAATTATAAGGCTCTGCAAGGGATAATATCATGAAATACATAAATCTTGATAAATAAATTTTAAATTCCAAAAACTTTGCCAGCAGTCCATCCATTTGTAAGAGGAACACATATAAACTCCAAGGACAAAACATACAGGTAGAATAATTTTTTGAATCTCGGAAAGGTGTATTTTAAAAATAACAGTAGTTAGTTATAACTATTTGCTTTATAGAAAACTTGAAAATACTTCAGAAAAGTATTTAATATTATAATTTGGAAACAATTAATTAGGATTTGTGTCACCAGCAGTTTCTGCTCAATGCCTGACAGCCCCTTCAATACACTGTGCCTGCAAAGTGAAGTTTTAAGTATCCCAGCAGCACATGTGTTTGATGTCACGGCAAACTGCTGGGAGGGCAAAAAGCAGAAGTCTGCCACTTCAACAACACTAGACTGATCTTTTTACCTGCAAAAAAATATTTCGTAGTTCGGCGGGGTCCGCTCTTTTGGTTGAGTGCACCTGTAAACACAAGCAAGTTACTGCTTCGAGAGCCGTGCCACTGACAGAGCGCCCACACCGCCCGCCGTGAGGGCGGCCATGGGGCGTCCCTGGAGACCCCCAGGCGCAACCCCAGACAGACCGCGCTGTGCTTGCGGGCTCGGTGCCGGTGACAGCTGTCAGCCCGGGTTGCCTGCGGCAGCCGCGGCACCCGGCCCAGGAACGGCCCCTCGGAACGGCCCCGCCACGGCCCGCGGGCCCGGCCGCCCCCGCCACAGCCCCCGCCACCCCCGGGGCCCCGGCCCGCCCCCGCGGCACCGCGGCGGCGGAGGCACCGCGGGCTGCGCTGCCGCTCCCCCGGGGCCTCCCCACCATCACCGCCGCCGCTCCCCGCGACCCGCGGGGCTCCCGCAGCGCCGGCGGCCGCCACCGCCTCCTCCCGCCGCCCGCCCGGCCCCGACCCCGCGAGGGGTCCGCCCGCCTCCTCCTGCCACAAGCGGCGGAGCGGGAGAGTCACCTTGACCGCCATGCTGCGCCCGCCGAGGAGGAGGAGGACGGCGAGGAGGAGGAGCCGCCCGCCCGCCGCGCCGCCGCAGCAGCCGCCGCCTCAGCGCAGCGCTGTGGGGGCGAGCGCCGCACCCGGCCCGGCCCGGCCCGGCCCTGCCCTGCCCTGCCCGGCCCTGCCCGCTGCCCCGGGCGGCCGGTGCCGGACGCCGCCGTTGGAGCCGTCCGGGTGCAGTGTCTGCCCCCACCGAGGCACCGGCGGCGCGGGGCGGGCCCTGCCGGGGGCTGCTGGCAGCACCACAGTGCAAAACTCAGCTCCGGTAAATGCTGCTGAACATCGTTTCTGGCGTGACAGATGCAGCTGCTCTCTCAAGGGTCAGCTGACCTGTTGGTTCCAAGTGCTGAAATTGTTCACAGTCTGATGTTCTGGCAGCTTGACTGCAAATTGGTAGTAGCCCCGTATTTCAAACAAACGGACCAGAGGCACAAAGTTGACAATCCTGGCTGGAATTCAGTAACTTCTGACGAGGTCTTTAGCAATAGAGCACACTCATATCTCAAAATGAAAAGCATGCAGGCCACAGCCTCAAGAAAGGACAAGTTCATATTTTGTTTGGACAGTTCGATCACGGTAAGTGCTTGTAAAACCTAGCTTAACTAATGCTACGTGTTTTGTCTTGCTGTACTATTTCAAGGACCCAACAAGGTGTCTTTTGTCACATGTCACTGGAAAATATAAAAAGAGCAGATTCTGGTACATATCAAATAGCACAGTGAGATATAAAACTACAATACAGTAGTTCGCAGTTTATAATAGTGGTCACAAAACAATGAGTCACTTTTTTAAAGTTTAAAACAACTAATTTTCTCTAGAAAGCAGAATTTTCCTTGGCTATAGGTCAACAAAAATTCTCTGAATATAACTCAAAGTTTACATGTTATGTATGTGCCTATGTCCCAGCTGACAGCAGAAACAGTTTTGATAGAAATTTGCCTATTTGATAGGCATCTGATAGGTATTTGATAAGCATCTGATCACTAGAGCAAGTCCACATATATATATACTAATTACAGAGTGTCACAGTTTAACCCAGCCAGCAGCCATGCCTCTACACAGCCACTCATTTCCCCACCAGCAGGACTGGGGAGAGAATTGGAAGGGCAAAAGCTGAAGAACTTGTGGGTTGAGATAAAGGCAGTTTAACAGGGAAAGCGAAAGCCGTGCACACAAGCAAAGTCAAACACGGAATTAATTCACTGCTTCTCATGGCAGGCAGGTGTTCAGCCATCTCCAGGACAGCAGAGCCCCATCA